AGTGCAACAATTCAAATGAAAGCTGAGCTATTAGGTGCTAACTTTCCTTGGTGTTATTCAAGTATTGGTTATGAGAAAGACGAGCACAATAAAAATACAATCAACTCTCTCTTAGCCGACACCTCTTTTATAGCATGGACTACTAACTAAAACAAACACCTAGAGTTAGTCTCTGCGGTTCTTAAGTCGTTTTCTTTGACTTTACATGTATTTAAGGTGAAAAGCTGAGGGACGCTTAACTTGGTGCCAGACCAATCAATTTTGCCTTAGAGAAAGATAACTGTAAGGTAAATACAACTTTAAGGGAAAAGGTCGAGGAAGAAAATGCAGCAAAAGTTATGTTACTAGTTAATTTCTTACTTTCGAGGAAACGGCGCGAGTTTCTTGCGTCAATGCAAATCCAAAACTCTGTCGGAAAACAATAGACTGAAAAACTGAATGAGGATTCTGAATTTGAGAACGTGAGTCAAGTGAAGCTGATAAAGTCAAAGCTACTGAGTATAAATTTCCTGTGGTAATGTTTAGTATTAAACTGTACAATGTGATTCTAACTCTTGAGTCTGTGGATAAAAGCTTATGGTTTGACAATCAAAATTAAATTTCTTTGGCGTTGCATGGCGCCATTATTACTTTCATTTTAAATCCCTAAAATAGGATTTTCTGTACTTTTTTTTACTGTGGCCACCTATAAGATTGAAAAGGTTAACGTAATACAATAAATACACGACTAAATTCTATACTTCCAACCACTTGTCAAATTTTGACAGTAACCCTTTCCATATTACTTTATAAATTTCAACAATAATTTAAAATTTAAAAAAAAAAAGAACCTAAGGCGAAGTCACTAACTAACGTAGTCTGCCGTTGGGTTTAACTTTCCCTATTTCTGACTTAGGGTCGGGTGACCTTGAACTCCACGTTGTTGATTTACAAGGAAGTATATGACTACACCCTTCTAGATTCCCGCTAATTACACAAGAAGCTTCTACTGTCCAAAAGTACTCCACTTCACTGTCGATCCAGTCATCAAGTTCTTGTCCAAATTTTCTGGAGTTTTCCGCAGCCTTTTTGGCCAGCGCCTCTGTGTTGTTCGCTTCGCGATCGAACTCTATTAAAAAATCATTAGTGTTGTAAATCCCCCCTGGGGGACCACTGTTCGCCGCTGTAGCGTCCTGCGATCTGATTGGCTCTCCTTTGGAGACGGACATAGGTATGACTAAGAAACTGGTTTGACCAATAACCATATCTTCACCCTTGTGTGAGAAGATCATTTTGATGGTCCATTTACCAGGTCTCATCGGTTTCTTGAACGTTGGCTTGTGGAATGAAACCACCCAGTTTTCAACGACGCGCATTTCGTAAATTCCTGTTACAACATTGATAGGATCCACCCACATAATTTTAATATCAAACTCCTTGCCGTGTACCCAGCGATGGACCAAAACAGGGTCATCCCAGGGACCCATGAGCCGAGCCAAGTTGCGAAAGACCCTCTCCTTTTGGTCCCAAATGGTTCCCACCTGAAATTGAGGAATCAACAATCAGTCAGTGACCAGTTAGTTTTTTTCACAAGAGTGGTCAACTCGGGAGTACCGAGAGCGAATCCAGTTAGTGATCTCAGTAAGACTTTAATCCTACCAGGGAACTTTAGATTGCTGATGCAATGTTTTGAACAATACACTAGGTTGCCTCCAGTACAGAGCGATAACTGATCAACGAAATGTTCCTGAAATTATTGATGTTTGCCACCCTGCAAAAACAGACGCTTTTAACGTGGGTAAAAAAAGAAATGCGTCTGTTATTGCAACCTAGATATTCCGGTTTCCAAAGTAACTAAGACAGAACTAGATTAATTTATAGTGGTGCTATCCACAAAATACAATTGAAAATTTACGCCGAACACAACAGACATGCACAGACGTTTACTTTACTGTAATGACCATGATTAATTACTTGAAGCTTTTAAAAAATAATGAAAGATATAAACATCTGACGACACATTAATTTATGTTATGCGACAAGGAGAAAAGAAGCTAATGAAAGCAAGAGAGAAAAATAGATTCCAACAAATTTTGCTTTTCAGAAAAACTTTATCAGAGAGCTTGAATCTGCATTTATCATTACCTCTAATCCCACAAGTCGCTGCGGCCCGTTGCTTATATTCAAATTTAAGAGCTCCTCATGACTTAAGGGTGCCAACCACGTTTCCATGGTTACAGTACGTTTCTGTCCACTACTGCTAAGTACGTCAACATCGTACAATGCTAGAACTCCACCGAGCTGATCATGCTGGTTTAGAATCGTAACTTCTTTGATGATTCCGGTCCCTCCTGGGAGACATTTACGACTGTGGCTACCTTGAACAGAAGGCGTTTTCAAGCTTTTTAACCCTACTCGAACAAAAGCCTGGTAAAATGTCGCGAACACGTCGCTCGTTTTGGTGATGGAGTCTTCGTGGTGGTACATATTTTCCCAATAATAGTTCAGTCCTTGAGTGTTGGCAGGGTACGGGTCGTACAACCATGAGTCCAGCTGGTTTATAACTTCTTGATTGACAATAGCTTCAAACTTCCGCGCAAAGTAATTTGTTGACTGGCTCTAAAACAAAACGAAAGTCAAATATATTTTAGCAAGATAGGTTTACAAAAGCTTTCTTTTTACCTAATGCACCCATATCCTAGTTGTTATATGAAAGCTACGATGGCCGAAAAGAGTAAAGCGATTTAAACGGGCGCAGCAATCATAGAAGCGCTAAAAAACATTAATAGAACTGACGTATATCTTGCCGATTATGTTAGTAACAATAGCCGTGATCGTTGAACAGTTGTTTTCGATGCGTGTTTAATCACTACGATCTCTGAACTTATTTTTCAGTGATCGTAGCAGTGTGGCGATCAAGTGTGAACCAGGTTAACAACAAAGAAAAGTCACCTTGTAAAAGTAATTTGTTGACTGGGTTTAAATGCGAACGGCAAATAGTATTGCCAGTAAAGTACGTTTTAAAAGGCTCATTTTTGATAACCGCATGGTGATTAAAAGCGTGCTACTAAGTTAATAATGATCAATATAAGTAAAGAATCCCAACTGTAACAGAACCCGAACTTCTGGACTGGTCAATCTTGTTTTCTCTCGTCAAACTGGTTTTCCGAGTGCGAGCAACCGTTTATTGATAAACCGATGATCAAAACTGTGCCCGCTGTATCCAGCGCAAGGCTATTAGGCCTGGGTTCGAAACTGTATCCCAGCGACAAGCAGCGCATGCTCAACAACGACCTTACTTGATTCATAAAGAGTCTTTTGAGAGAAGACTCTGCTAGCAGGTTGAGATGAATGTACCGTAAATCCTCTATTAATCCCCCCCGCCCCCCACCCCCCACCCCACCGGGGGCTTATGTCTGTCAAACAGGTTAGCGGGGGGGGGGCTTAATAGAGAAGGGGACTTATTTAACTTGGCAAAGACGATGTTATCAGTTCTCCATAAAAACTAGAATGCAAAGTGGAAAAGCTTAAGTACAAGGGTTGCAGGTCATGCAAAGCAAATCTGTACTTCCAGTTGGTGAAAAAACCATCCTGGATCAGTCCACACGAAGTTTTGCAGTCGTAATTGATGAATACCGGCTATCATTTATTAGTGAAAAATAATGAGCGGGAGGGGAGGGGGCGCTTATTAACTTTCTTCCCCTCAAAAGGGGGGAGGGGGCTTATTTGAGAAGAGGGGCTTAATAGAAGATTTACGGTAAGAAATAAAGTAAAAATGTTGCTACCTTTAACCTGGCCATGTCCTCGGGTTTAAAGTCGTTAGGGGAACAACCGCACCAGTCTACGATATGTTTATACTGACAGCGACAACCCAGCTTGCGTTTCCAGTTAGTGAGACGTAAGTTGGTTCGGATGAACGTTTCACAGTAAGGACCATTTCTAAGCACCGTGTGAAAAAACGACTGCAAAGGAAAAAAATATGGACTGTCTAATATGGCTGCATGTCGAGTGATTAACTAGGTTTTATACGGGTTAATGGTTGAAGTTACGTCTATATTCAATTTTATCACATGGGTGACTGTGCTCCTGCTGATAGCGACTTATAGTGACCTGTTGGGAAAGTCATTATCTCTGACATCATCAGAGTCAAGGTGAACATTCGATACAACGCGATGCTCAATTTACACACGACAGGACTACGGTGTTCCCACTAAAATACCTCGTGAAGGGAGGGATGAAGGCCCGAGCGTAGCGAGGTCCATAGATTTATCGAAATTCTCGTTCAGCGAGTGCGATCAAAGCACGGATGAATCTCGAGCAACCTTTATATGCCGTGTACATATCTCATGTTGGTGTCCGCATTAACTTTGAAACAAAACCGCAAGCCCGAACTGCACGCGTTATAAAAATAAATTTTATTATCACAAACGGCAAAACCCGGCCAGGTGCACGCACTTTCCTCCTAGCCGAACCAGGTTCTTCACGACCCGTATTTCTCGTCTACATCAATACTAAACGTACTGCGTGTCTCCTTCTCGCGCGCCCGTTTTTTCTTGTGCCCACTACTTCCAAGCGCCTGCTACGCAGGCTAGCTTTCCCTGAATGGACGACCCTATATGACGGACAAGTCCTTTAAACATACAGCTTTACGTGTACACCTAAGGACTTGGTTCCTGTCGTTTTTCAGTCATTTCACTTGACTCTCTGCGTGTGACAATCAAATCCAAAGTAACAAGAAAGCTACGAAAATTGTTACCTCGGCAGGCAGCAATGAGTATCCATACATGTGCTTGAGTGATGTCACCAGAGGATCTCTTGACGTCACTAAGAACTGACAGAACTTCCTGTTTAATGCGATCCAATCACTTCCTCCATCGATGTCAATTTCTGGGGGGAGCTTTCTTTCACCGAGCCGCCACATGTGCTCATCACACTCCAGAAAAGTTCTGTCCAAGCCTTGCTTTTTAATAAACCTAAAGAGAGACAAACAGAGGTTAAAATTCGTGTCATTTTTCATATAATAAGTACTTTTAAGTTTAAAAACTCTTAGCTATGCTCAGATTAAGGTGGCTTACTTATCAATATTATAGAGGGTGTTCCTTGGTGTTGTGGAAACCATTGTTGGCTCGCTTTTGTGTTGGTTGTGACGCGGAAATTGTTCCGTGTCTTTTCAATGTTTTGTATTACGTCATTTGGTGATTGCACCCGTCTGTAACGCGAACACAAGAAGGGCTACTATCTAAGACATAACATTTCTTGACCCAAACGTTGGTTTCACTAGTTGGCGATGTGATAAACTCCTCAAATCAACACTGAGGGAGGAACAGCCAAAACATTCTGCAAGCGTTTCAACAATAATGCCCAAGATTTTGGTCCCTTAAATTGTAGCAATCATACACGAATTTTCAGCAGTTTAATAGTCATCAACACTACGAACTATACAGTCTTCTTCGGTTCTTTCTTTGCCTGAATAATCAACAGCATCATTGCATGTTAATTTTATTTCGATATTTGCACTTCTCCAATGCCAAGTAACGCCAGTCTCCGTTTTCTTAAAACTGTCTAGCGTGGAAACTGAGTTCCCCAAAAACTACAGGTATGATCTTTACTTTTTCAATGGACCAGCGCAATATTTAAATTTGCTACAAACCTTGCGAGTTCTCTTCCATGTGGTTTTAAAAAGTTGTAGTCACGACGAGCCCTTAAAAATTCTACCAGTTCAGAATTATGCCTGAAAACAAGAACACAATATCAAGCTTTTCATTAAATACATTACACTGTACAGTTTGATTTATGCAAACACGTAAGTTCAGGATTCATTGCACCCAGTCAAAATAATAATGAAAGGTGGTTCTAATTTTTGGGTCTGTCGATGAAATCCTAAAGTGTGACCATTCAAATGAAAGCTACTGAGTGGAACTTTCCGTTTAGTATAGTTTATTATGCTGTAAAAGGTGGTTCTAACTTTTGAGTTTGTGGATAAAATCCTGCAGCTAGTGCAACCGTTCAAATGAAAGCTCACACTGAGCAGTACAGTACTTTCCTGTGGTAGAGTTTATTATCATGCTGTACAAGGTGGTTCTAACTTTAGACTCTGTAAACGAAATCTTTAAGTGTGACCATTTTAAATGAAGAGATACCGATCAGTACTTTCTGTTTATGCATTTTATTACATGTATGCTGCACAAGGTGGCGATAACTTTTAAGTCAGTTGATGAGAATCCTAAAACTAACAAGCACATGAAAGCTAACAAGCAGCTAGTACATTCCTGTGGCATTACTTTGCTACATAAAAGATGGTTCTAACTTACTTGATGGGATAGTCCGATTCACTCAGATTGATAAAGAAGTCCCATTTCCAATCTTTCTTTGCCATTAAGTCCTCCATGCATCTGAGTAACATTTTCAGCAAACTGGCTCCACCCCATATTGTTGCCAAACTCCAGGGTGCAACAGCAGCATTCGGAAAATTACGTATCATCTTTAAAATTTCTCTACGAAGATAATCTGACCTCTGAAGAAAGGCAGACCCAACAGTTGCAATTAAATGCATGCATGTTTTTCTTAACTGTTCAATAGCCAATTAGTACAGTGGAAGCTCTTGTAAGCAGACACCCTCGGGATGCGAAAAAGGTGTCCATATAACTGGCACTGTTCCCTTACAGGAATGTAAAAATACAGAGTTTGTAGGGAAGTTGAGAAAAACAGGGTTTTGTAAAGATGACCGTGAGTAGAGCTGTCTGCCTAGTTATAGAGTGTCCGTTAGGAGAACTTTCATTGCATTCAGTATCTTGGTTGCCGTATAATCCTGGTCAGACAAATGAGAGATACTTTTTTACAGCCTCTGAACAGACTGACTTCATTTTGGGGGAAGGGGGACTGAAATTACAAGATTTTCCCCCGCTATCTAATGGGAGAAGTTATAGCCACACCCAGCTCACTTTGTTTGCCAATTTTTTCCTTTTTTCCCAACCAAGGAAGGAGCCTGGTCTCAGGCTAGAGAAAGTTTAGACTGCATGAGAACAGGTGCTATTTTTCAGCATTTTTCAGGCCAGCACAAAGCGCACATGGAGCAACTTTACCTGTCACGCACGTCTCGTGCTCCATATCTGCTTCATGCTGAACTGAAAAATGAGGACCATGTATAAGACTGCAAGTTGTGCCCTAATACTCTTGCTACCATAAAGATAATTATCATTCGATGCAAATGTTTCTTCCTTTTCATTGGCCGAGAGCCGACCACATGACCTGCAAATAACTGCCTACAAAATAATGGTGTGCTCACGTACAATGTCGTTCAACTGTTTTTGGCTGCAAATACTATTCTGCTCATGCGTAGATGAAACCACGCTTTTCTCCTTCTTGCGATCGCTGTGCTTAAAAATGGCAGATCGCTTCGCTTCCCAAAGATATTCCTTAAAAAACAAACTCGGTGATCGAATGATAAAACAATTATTGAACTCCGTTATCGCAAAATATTGTCAGCTTTGGCAAATAATTGATCTACGAGACACTGACAAATCACGATATTTTGCTCAACCCCGTCCAACAATTGCTAATTATTTGCCTCTGCTGCCAGTATCAGTTGAGTGTATCTACTTACAGTATCAATGTGAAAGAAAAAGTAGTGATGGCTGTGGTACAGAGCCTTGAACAATCTCTTGACTTGTCTAAATGCTCTTCCATGGACTGTCACAACATATGCAATTCTTATTGGGTTTCCGTAAGGTGTTTTAGCAACATCAATCCACTTTGCTGGGCTGCCTTTTTCACGAGGAACAGGGCAAGTTCTTTTGATATCAATATTATAAAGTTGCTTGGCTTCTGACAGACAAGCTGTCTTATAAATTTGTCTTTTACACCTCTCAGATTTCACCCGTTTTAGGGCGGAAAGAGCATCTTTGTGTTTTACTTTACAAGGCGGCACAAATGGTGCCTCTAAAGATGATGGCTTTGGGCCCCTTTCTGGCTCTCCATCTTGTCTTCTTGATGGCTCATGAACCTGTCAAGGAAAACACAAGATGCAAAATAACGTTAAATAAACCTGCGTCAGATGTGATAAAATTAAGCTCAGGCAATGACCAGTGAATGCACCAAAGCAATAATAAGCAATAATAATATAATACTATTTTAGGAATAGCCTGCATCGCAGATGTAATTTAACTTTGGTTAGTAACGTCTGTGAAGCAGCACCGATATCCCTTTCTAGGCTCCAACGGACACAATGAATTACCAGAAGTGTGTTTCGAATTACCTTTAATCTTGAGTGGCAAATTGAAAATAAATGGCTAATTTTTAACAGGCCAATCATAGCATGTCCTCATTTAATCCCAGTACACATGTGGGGGCCCATAACAGGGATTTCGGTGCTGTTTCACAGATGGGCTTCATATCACAGTTTAGTTTCATCTATGAGGAAGGTTATTTGAGGAAAGTTAAGGAGAATTTTCTAGCACAAGACCCTCTCTAGGGACGATGTGAATGGTTGTTGCAATTTCATTAATATTATTATTCTACATTAACATATCCTTTGTCCGTTGACTCCATGAAGAGTCACCATTATTGAACTCTATTAAGAAATTGATTAATTTTATTTTAAAAACATTTCCTAACCCTTTAAATCCCAAGGGTGACCTAGACGTCAACTTTCTCCTCACAATATTGATACAAAATCAAGACAAAAAGTTATGAGAATTGATAAAATGATTACCAAAGGGGATATGCTCTCTTTACTAATAACATTATTATTCTTTAAGGAAATGTATGGAGATTAGTCTGGATAATTGTGTGTGGATATTACTACAAGGAATAAATGCTGTGTTCTAAATGATCAACCATGTAAATTTACATGGCCACTAACAACTCTCTGCTAGAAATGAAAAAATTTAAAGGAAGTTTTTAATTGTTAATGTGTTTTATTCTAATAGGATTTATGAGACTTAAGGTAAAATGAGTCCTAGCTATTTTGGGAGGTTATTTTATTCTTTGTTCTTAAAGGCTTATCCTTTCATTTTTCAAAAAAGACATTTATTTGACTTTTACATGCAAGTTTGTAAAACAGAAGTCACAACAACACGATCAAAACTTTATAGCCATACATTATTATATGCTATGACAAAAACATAGTCATCAAACGATTGCTACTGCCAGCTGCGATATGCAAATACATTGAGTAAACTATGCAAATCCAAGCTCTGTTAGAATTAGCTGATCATCATTGAAGAAAGTCACCATTATAGTTATATCATATCGATCTGATGATATTCAATCACTCATTCAAAACTTCATATAGCTATTATCAATTATTTTCCTCTTTATGATCGAATCGATTATATATTTATATATAACACAACAAGACTATAATTAACCCCGCATGAATAGGATAAACTAAATATATCTCATTGACTTATGGCACTTAATATGGCATGCAAAATGGAAGCAATAATTTTGTCGTTAATCGAACCCCAATATTTTGTAAATAGTTTAACCTTGTAAGGGCCAAATACGATAAGAAATACTCATAACATCTTTCCTAGAATCACATCGTTCCAAATCAAAAAACAAAAACCAAAACATAGTTTATTACTTCTTCTAACAGGAAGAAAGAATCGATCGTGCTATGTACACTGAATGATCGAGTCACCTACCGAGCGAGCACCAGTTTACGACGTTGAATAATTTACACCAGAAATAAGCTAGCTGCTTTACACCAAAATATCGCTTGTAAAGCTCCATCAAGGCCTTTTTATTGGGTTACAGGGCAAAACGGCCTGCCAGAGAGTTTTAATATCCCAATATTCATGTACGGAATACAACAACACCGCTATAAACAACATAATTAGCCACGTATTTAAGCTAATGATATTGCTCAAATTTAGCTGTTCTCACACGCGAATTCTAAAGGGATAAAGAATTAAATCATGACACAATCAAAGCTGTTGATATCATATTATATCTTACCGGAAAATGAAAACAGAATTTTACAAAATTAAAAGTAGCAATGAGGATAAATGGATTGCGTCTTAGTATTTCACTTCCTATGTACCTGCTTTGCCCCCACGTGTGAACGTGCTTTTCCACGTACCGTTCTTACATGACGATTTCCAATAACGGGATGTTCTTCAGGCCAGTGTGTAGATGAGAAATGGATGGTTGTTAACACTTGAATGATTACTATTAGACCGATTATTCCCAGGATAAATCGCACTATTCTAAACTTCATGACCGGGAATATGTCACATCACAGATTCCACTTTCTCTCTTTTGTGCTGCCAGCGATTCTTCACAATGGACTGGGGTCGACCAGTAATTTGATTGGTCCGTTGTTAGTGCGTGACGTTCTAGCGTGATCTTCTTGTTCTACTCTTGGATTGGATTTCGCTAAGGGATAACGGATCGCGAAAATGAATATCTAAAAAGAAACCTTAAAATTAATTCCCTGTCGAAGCTTGAGTTAAGTATAATATCCGTTTAAGCTGTTTCCTGTTCCATTTTCCCTGAACACTATTTTGAAAGGTCATGCCCGTATTTTGAGTTTTTTCTCCGATGAGGCCACCCCTTTTTTTCTTCGTTTAGCATCGTCCGACCCACCCAAATTTTTGTCATTTCCTTTTTGTAAAATAAACGACGTAGTTAAACTTTTTTTTGAATTAAATTAATTCTTTCAATCTGAAATCATCTCGAATCTCGGGATAAGCAGCGACGGGCGACTTAGGACCTCATCAGTGATTGGTCAGTGGCGTCTAACCGCGAATATCTTGTCGTAATATATAACCCCTACTTCTCCAAATTGAACTCGGGTTCAACACAGGCGTCCCAAACTCTTGTTGAAGTTAACACAACTGGCAATATTGCTTGAAAAAGTAATTGATCGGATTTATAGGAACCGGTTTTACCGAAAAACAATTCATTATCGCAGCTAATTACTTTTCTTTAGATAAGCTCCGATAACGCTTTTATTTGGAATTAAAACTGTTTCTATGCATTTAATTTTCCCCGACCGTAAAACTGTCGCCCGCTGTACACGAGGGAAGCCTCTGGTAAACAAGCTAGGTACCTATGAATGAACGAGCGAAAGTAAAGGGAAGTAAAACCAATGATAACCCTCCCTGGATGAAGCAATGAATACATCGATTCAAACTTGATCTTCCTGGAGGCGCTGATTGTAAGGTGAAACGCCCATGGCAAGAAAACACTACTATTTACTGTTGTTCATTGAGCCCCCTAATCACTGATCACAGTCGAGCGGTGGATAAAAATTACAAAGGATCAGTAATCTCCTGGAATCTTCCTCTCTATGACAAGCATCACCTGAACTTATAAGCATAATAATAATTTAATGACGTTAGGTAAAGCAAACAAGATGAAATCTAAATCGGCTTGACGTTCAGTCACCAACAAGAGGCTACAGATATGATGAAATAGTACAAAGAAACAGACAAACCTGAAATTTTGGCAGACGCATTCACTACCGTCTCTAGCTTCTTGAATGACATATCAGAAAATTAAAACACCATTCTCGTATCATTAACATGAAGTGGTGGCTTCCTTACTGGTCTCGACTCCTTGACATCTTGCAATTGTTTCTATAGCAACTTGCAAAAGGCTAGCATAATGACCCTTTTAATATTTCTTTGACCAATAATAATTTTCATCGTTTCTTCTGCATTATGAATATTACACCTAAGGAAAATTACAGCACTTACATGGTTCCTCTCAAGCTTTTAGAACACTTATAAGTAATTGAAGAGGGGTCAACCATTAGACATAACAACTCATACCACAAAGTTTTGGGAAAACAAAATATCAGTATCAAATTTTTGAAAAATGATGAAGTTAAGACATCCTTCAGAGTTGATCCTGGCACTTGAAACTTAAACCGATTTTAATTTTTACAGATATCATCTCGTCACCCAACTATCGCTATAATATAAATAATTCATAGTTCTCCGAGGATGACAAATCAATTCAATAAGTATTTGGACCGGCTTCTTTAATTTGACTTCTATTGCTAATTACTTAGCTATATAAGGTTCAACCGATTAGTCTTCCATAGCAGTGAGAAAAGGTAGATAAAAACGAGATAGAAAGGGTGAACAAGAACTAGAAGAGATTGAGTGTAAATTAAAATGAATTAATTATTACACGATCCATCTCCGCATCTTTAAGAAATAACGAAACCGGTACTAACCACCAATTTCCTTTGTTTACAGTATTCCCGCAAACCTTGAAGCCAAATCTGAATTTTAATTGATCGAGATTTTGCCTCTCAACTCGGAGGGAGGTCGAGCCATATTGCTCGAAGTCCTATAAAATGAAAAGATCAACCCATTTTAAAATTTTCCATGAGCTGGATACAAGCGAAAGAAATCTGACCAGAGGGATGAAACTAGAATTTTATAATACACCCACAGTCAAGTCAACCCTGTCTCTTCCGCAGAGGCCTCTTTCTATAGGGATACTCAGTGGGAGCCTCTACGGAGGAGAGAGAAGTCAATCGGCTCGTTAACACTGATAGCGGTTTGAATTAGACTGTTCACAGTCCCCTTTTTTTTTCGTGAGATCGTTTAGATATACCGCTTCTTACCGTCACGGGGATCTTGATTTTCAAATGTACCGAAGGGGCGGGAAGTAGTTTTGACACTCATGCAAGATGGCAGCCCGTAACGCAAAACGCTCGATCACGATGATCTTACGGAAAAATAGAGGACCGTGAACAGTCTAGGTTTGAATCGAAGGATTCAATTACTTTCTTGCCATAGCAGTTTTGATAGCAAACGATAACGCAGACTAAACAATCTTTTTTAATAATCATTTCTTTCCGGATCTATACTAAGCCCTTTTAATCCGAGACCAATTACATATTGAAGTAATGTCCAATCTTTTGTGTGAGCCTATGGACAAACCATTAAATGTCAGCTAAATTGCAGCTCAGTTAGGCGGTCAGAGAAAATTGAAATTTTGGTGTGAGAAGCGGAGAGCCATATTATCAATGTGTAACTTTGAATGTTGACGATCATTATAATGGGCTGCGATTATCCTTAATTCGCAAAGCCTTCGCGGGAGCAACTTCCGCAAATCTCCCCCGGGAAATCTCCCTGCCAAAACTGGAGTATTTAGCATAGCACATTTCATTTTTATCGTTTGTTTTAATATGGTCATTAAAGTATATTAAAACATAATTGATCTTTGATGTCAAAGGACTGGTTGTCCAAAGTGATAATAATTATGAACTTTGTGTAAAACTGATGGCCAAGGTTGCCTGTGTGTTTATACAGATGTTTGGGCCATGATTATAGCTGGTTTTTGTCGGTCCTGGATGCAAGTAAAAGGGCGGCTTTCGTCTACGCCATAAGGCATAGCATTATCGCCTTTTAGCTTAAAGCTCTGGAAAAAAAACTTAATTTCCCTTTTTTGTTTGTTGAAAAGAAATCCGGACATTTATGGGGGGCCACAATTAAAGGAAGCGCTAAAATAGGAAAGAATACCTCTTTAAATAACTTTTTGATTGACCTGAATTAACATACCTACTGAAATTTAGGAAATTTAATAGCAGAAAGCGAGGATGAAGGAATAAGCTTGTAACTTAGTAACCCCCTACGAAAGGGTGATTAGTTCAGAACGGAAAGAAGAGACTGGAAAAGTTGGTGTGGAGCCCGATAGGTTTCTTTTCCGTTTTGCTTTTATTTTTTCCTCTTTTATAATTGAGTTACTTCTCAGAAAAGCATTTATGTTTACAAGCGGTAACTCGGTGCTTTCACCTCACTAGCATACTATGACTTGGCTACGGACCAGGCCACCCACGCAGACGTTCTGGCTTAGCACGCAATCCGGCCCCAACGAACGTTCGTGGGGAAGGATCCCGTGACGAACCCCTAAGAACTTCTGCTTAGGAGGCTAGATATGATCAAGCTGTTAGCTGGCATTTCAAAGAGATTGGGAAGTTTGAAATGCTCATAGTGATGTTATTTGCTGGATGGTAGTAGATCATGATTGTTTCATTATATGTTTAAACATTATGTTATCTAATACAAATTTCTCACTCTTCTTTCCCTCCCCCCTCGTTACCTGTTCAATCATAATTTTATCTTAGAAGTTTCTCATGATTTGCAATTAAGGTGTCACACTTATTGAGAATGAAAATCCCGGGCCTATTTGAGGTTCAGTTCGCAAGGGGGGTGGCGCGTTTTGAAATGGCTTTCTTCAATGACGTCGTTTCTTGGACCTACGTAACGTTTCTTGGAAAAGTTTACAATAGAAGGGATGAAAGTAAAAACGGAAATGAATAGAAATGGACAGAATAGAAATCGAAAGGGAAAGAAGTTTACCCAGCATGCCTACCGGCAATGTGCTTTGAAAAAGAGCGCGTCACCCAGAGAAAACAAAATGGCGGAAGAAGGTATGGTACTGAACAGTTGTATTTTTTTGTGTAGCTGATTTCTTTAGCTGTCTTTCCTAAATACAACGTTAAATAGTTATTGTGTGAAACATTTACGCTGTAGGTATCTAGGTATGTTGCCTGTGCATCAAGTATATCCAGGAAAAATTTGTAGTTGAGTGGATAATCGAAGTTTTCGGGTAGCAATCATGCAATTCAGCTACAAGTCTTTTTGTTGTCCGTTTTGAAAGATCGATTTCCAGCTCCCTATGTGAAAGGGATTTAAGGAATAAATTTGAAAGCACTAAGGAAAGGAATAATATCGATCAGATCGCGATTAATAATAATTTGAAGTCGAATGCAGTATCACTGTCACTTTCAGCTTAGTGTACTTGTACTTAAGTATTAATTATAAGAATTCGTTTGAAAATATCAGAACAGATGTCAAAATCGGGGGTTTTCCTATCCTGATCGCATATTGGTTGGGATTCAAGGAAAATCAGGAGAATCCTGATGAGATCAGGATGGTTGGACAGTCTGAAAATGGAAATATTATTTAATTTTCCTTTTAATTTTAGAAACTTCTGCTGAGGCCTTAGTGAGCTTAAAAGGTAAGGCTGTCATGCACATTATATTCTAAGATAATATTGTAGTCGTATCCACCTTTCTGCTCTTGTGTATTAAGTAATGGTCCAGATAAGAAAAGAACCAAACGAAAATTTGCCATTCACCATTGTCTCTACTACACTGTTGATTGGTTTAAACATCAGATTTTTCGAAATCTTTGCGAAGCAGCATGTTTATCAATCCCTTGTTTTCTAACCAACTTCCTTACAACAAAGTCTCCTCTGAATCTAAGTAACACAGAAATCCTACATGTATGTGTGGAACATGTAAAATTGCAAACTTTTCTTGGCTATTGTTTTGAACTCTTATGATTGGTTGAAATCTTTAAACACAAAAAACACCCTTTAAAAATGGAGTTGAAATTCATTTTATTTCATAGACTGTCTTTTTGTAGGTTTATGCATTCTCTTTGTTAAAAAATAATAACAATAATATCCTACATAATGTAATACATGGCAGGGTCACCACATCAGATAAACCTGTTACTGTGGGCCTGTTTAGCACTAGCCTGAATTTGAGACGATTACTTCAAGTTGTTTTTAATCCCTCGGTAACATCTGAATCAACCGTTAATGGTGACCAGTGACGTCACTACCCCTTTGCTTTAATTCATGCAAAAAGTAAAACATGATTTTCAGCTGGTAAACAAAGAAATATTGTCTGGAAATGTCTACATGATACAGAATTGCTTTACTCTTTTTTTAATTGGAATTCGTGTTTTCTTTAATTGAAAAGAAGCTATTTGGTCCTTAACAAAGAAGAAAGAAAACAAGAAAGGAAAGCAAACAGAATCATTACGCTTGTCAGTTAAATAACAAGAAGGTCGAATTATAACTTAAATCCCAGAAAACTTTGCACAAACAGACTGGCTGCCGAAACCACAAAGCGGCTCTAAATGAAAAACCTACTAATTCCCCGCAATGATTCTTCATTTGTAACTAGTTCAATTTAACAATTCATAATTTTAAAGGCAAGGGCAATTTTGCTGTTTGCGATAAAGATTGTCGAAAGTTTTGAACTCCATGCAAGCATGCCAGGCATGCAATCTGCTGAATATTAAACGACAATTTCAAACGACAATCCTACTAAAATTTTTTACAATATTATTATACATAATTATGCAAATGTTTGGGCAATCAACCAATCAAAATCACTACCCAGTTTTCCGGTCTGGGGATCATTTGCAGTACTGTACAGATCTTTAACCTTACCCTGTGTGGCAGTATACCCCTGTATAGGCCATTTAAGGGAGTACAGCCCCAAGGTTATGTGAGTGGACAATAGGAATCCTGTGTTCTGATTGGCTATGTGTGTGGGCAATATGGGCATAAAAGTTTAGCACAGGGCTGTTATCTAGCAGGGCCCAGTGTCCCTGGAGGTCTTACTAGCTGTGTCTTTGAATAGGACTATGGCTACATGTAATTGTCTGCTCATGGAAGGTGCCTGTCCATCTACTGGAAGTCCTTTTAGTGGAGGTTTGACTAAACATGGTTTACAATATATTGAAATACTCATATTACAGTTTATATGTGATTGATTTGCAGGCATTGGCTCACAGTCTCCATTTAGTTCACCTGTGAGACGATCTACACCAGTAAGTAAATGAACCCTTTTCTTTCTATGAGTGATTGTCGGTCAAGTGTGATTATTTCAGCTCTCTTAAATTGTCAAGAACTGCAATGAAGTTCAGAAAGAGAAAGAAAAAATTTTCACCTTTTTTGTCTCTTATAGAATGTGACTTTAGAGAATTTTATGTTGTGTCATGCTGGGGACAAGAAAATCTAGAAAACAGTTAAATGCTTGTACTGCTACAAAGTTTTTTTTGGCATTTTTGACATTATCCTTGTGGCTGGTGTAATAAATTGTCATTACTAAAGCTCTCAAACATTCACGGAAAGTGGAATTAGCCAGGGGAATGGCAAATTTCACTTCTTTGCTTAATTCTGTAAACATTTTTTATCTCTGTTTTCAAGTTGAGAATCTAAGTGTACTGTATTTCCTTGAATAATAGCTGGGGGCAATCATTTTTTTGCACAGAAGGGGCCGGCAATTTTTCGAGGGAAGGTGCGATTATTCAATGGAAGCGACTATTTCAAATATTGCTCACTGGAAGTCATGCCCTAAATATACATATATTTTTTTGTCGCATTAAATCAAAAACTGATCACATTAAAAAAACTGAACATGGGCTCTTTAAGTGTTCCAAATTTGGTTCCTTGATGAATTTTCAATGCCAATATCCTCGGTGTCAGAGCTAGAATCGCCCTGATCAGTATTGTTGGATCAGACTCCACTTCAACTTGACGGTGAGGGTATAAAAGAAAGAGAAGATGGTGAGAGGGGTAGTGGGGGGCGATTATTTGAGGGAGGTGATTATTTTAAATATTTCCGTTTAAAGGGGGCGATTATTCCAGGGAGGCAATTAATCGAGGGACAGCTATTATTCAAGGAAACAGTATTTTGTCTTAAATTTATTCTTTATAGCCACGTACAAAGAAAAGAACCCGGCAGCTGGATGATAGTTTAGAAGATACGGACCAAGACACGGGCACTGAAGAAGGGGTATGTATAATGAAGAAACACCTTGGTGCTGATCTGCTCACTAACTGTAAACTGATAAATGGTGCTGTTTGAATCCCTCCAGTTGACTTCTGGGTACAGGGCTTCCTTGTATGTACATGTATTAGAGTGCATTAAAGAACACAGCTATTAAACCATGAAGCCCAAAAGTAGCCATCATGAGTACTGCTTTTTTTCTAATGATGTATAGGAGAATCTCATCACGAGATAAGTTATAACAATTTTTATAATGGTCACCAAAGAGTAAATGCATTGATCTTTAAATAAATTCTTTCAGTTGGAGATCAGTCTGGAGAATTTGTAAAGTGAATATTGGGGTTTAAAGGTTTGAAGAAGGATGTAAAAAATAAGAAAAGAAAACTTGCACTGTACATGTACATGTAGCACTAGTGTTTTGGGTAAGTGAGGGTTCCAGCACCTACATGTCACAAATAGCCTGACTCCTGGCTGTATGTCTTGTGGTCTATTTGCTCACTAGTCCTTTGAGCTAATCCAGCCATGGTGGTCACATGACGGCAGAGATAAGTGTAGACCTACAACACAAGGGATTTCATCCCCTACCCTTTACAAACAGTGTGTGGGTTCTTTAACATTCCACAGATTTTAAATGACCAAGTGTTTTGAGAAGGGATGAAAAAGGGTTTACAAATTCAGCATTATCTGTAAAGACTACAAAGTTATACCTCACATGTATGCACATGTCATGGCAAAGGCAGCATTTTCTTCTCAGTTAAGGACCCTGAATGTTGGTCGGGTCAAGTTTTAAATGCTGTGGCCTCCTGTTTGGCAGATCAGTGCTCATCTAATTCAGCTGACACTTAGTGAGCTGCAGCGGATAATTTCTATGACTAATGTAAAAACATAAAACATAATTAAATTTTTCTCTTTTCTATTTGAAGGAATTTTCACTATCCTCCCCAAGAACAAGGTTTGTTATGTTATGTTTTTCTGTTATTTGCCCTTCTTCATGCTGTTTATTAACTTTTATTTTCTACCAGTCACTTGTTACCTCAGGTTTTGTCTGAATGGTTGTACTGTAGACCATAAATCCCTAAGCAACAAGATGCTATTGGAGCATACACTTGGGCGTCCTTATATCACACTTATGTCAGGATTCTTTGAGTCGTGCACATGTGAGTGCCGTAATGTTGTTAATTGTTAAGTGTTGGTTGAATTGGGTGAAAAAGGAGATGTGGACAAAATGTTTCTCGGAATTCCTGAAGTAATCTGGCTCACCGAATACCAAACATGCATGATTACCAAGAAATGTTATGAACTGAGAGCAGCCTCTCCATTTCAAGTGGCAAGCAAACATGCGAGTGAGCGGTGAAGCTGTGGGTGGTGGGGGACACAAAGAGCTCTCACTTTCTTTCTCTGCACCTTGCTCCCACATCTTGTTTGCTTGTGACGTGTCTCAGAGAGCTTGCTTGCAGGCTGTTAAGGTTTTCATTTTTGTTAGAGATGGTTGCATCGTCATCGCAATGGCTCACTCAATGCCAAGTGTACCCACACCCCCAAAAGCATTTTGTCAAGTGCTGACATCACCTTTGCCTCCCGACATCTGAGCAAGAACAGACAAAGTTCTCTGGTAACTTCTTTTGACTAACTGGTCTTGTAGATGATCGTCGTCTTTAGCAGTTCTGAATTTTCCACAATCCGTCTCAAGGTCTGTCAGGGCTGGTCTCTTTGAGACAGCATTCTTTTCCTTTCCACCATCCGTCTCAAGATACGTGGCAGACAGTCTTGTTAGATTAGGGCTGTCTGCTTGAACATCCTCTTGAACATACTTTTTCACATGCGCAGTATTCCTTTTTAACCAAACAACCTCGGTAGACTTGATAGTAAAGCTGCTGCCATTCCTGCCAACAACATCATACGGTTCTGGTGCAAATGGTGTCGACAGCTTGTTTTGCTTCTCTTGTTTTAGCAGCACTCTGTTGCCTGGAACCAGTTCTGAATACTCTGCATGCCTCTTCCTGTCTGCATATGACTTAGCTTTTACTTTCATTTCTCCATCTCTGTCTTGTACTTCACTCACTACACGTTCTTCATGGAATTCAGGTAACTTGGTTCGGATTTTCCTTCCAAACAGAAGTTCAGCTGGACTCACTCCGGTGGTGGTGTGAGGATTCGATCTGTATGCTATCAAGTATTTGCGAACTTCTTTCTTCCTCTGTTTCCCCTTGGCTTGTGCAATCTGCAACCTTTTCAAAAGACTTGGTTTTGCCTTTCCACTGCGCCATTTTCTTGGGGCCATAATGGTATGGTTTGCCTGTGTTTGATACCACAGCCTTCCAAATATCTTTCAAACGGCCTACGTCACTGGTTACTGATAGTGGTAAACCATGAATCATGAAGATTCTCTCCAGACTCTTAATGATCTCCGCAGATGTTGTGGAACGCATGATCTCAATTTCATAATATCTGATGAAGTAGTTAACCACGACTAACACATAGTCACCAGACAGTAAAGGACCCAATAAATCCAGAGCCAAGTCTTGCCATGGACTGTGTGTTGAGGGGGTTGACTTGATTGGCTCACGGTGGGCGGGACTGCTTACTAGCTGGCATCCTAAAATGATTTTGCAAAATCCTTCTGTCTCTTTGTCAATCCTGGGCCACCATACTTTTGATCAAAACCTCTGCTTCATACTAACAATACCGGGATGCCCTTCATGTGCCAGCGTAAAGACTCATGGTCTCAACTTGCTAGGCATTACAATTCTGGTGCCATGGAGGTTTAGCTTGCCAATCAAACGCAGTTCATTGGCTACAGATTATGTACAGCTTGAGCTGACCATCCCTCCAGGTTCTGCTCTTTATACAGTTATGCAGCTCACTGAATTCTTGTATCTTCTGCTGACACTTCTTCAATCTCGCATGTCATCATCACATGGAGTAACGGTTATTGCCACAAATCTGACAAATTTATCTGATGCTTTGTGCACTGCCAAAGGACCTGCTTGGTTTTCTGCATGCAGTAAGCTTGATAAGGAACCTACAATGTTCTGCTTCCCTGGCAAGTATTTAACTTTGAACCTGTAAGGTTGTAGCCTCAGGATCCATTGCTAAATTCTTATGCATGGCTTTGATCTGTTTGAGTATATAGTCTCGAATGGCTTTTGATCTGTGTATAGTTCGAATTCAGTGCTGTACACAGTACAGGTACACATAGAAACAATTGCACACCCAAACAACTGCCAACGCTTCTTTCTCAGTTTGAGAATTCCCTTTTTCGACTTCACTCTAATTTTTGCTCGCATAACTGATAACTCTCTTACTTCCTTGTTGTTCTTGAGTAAGTACTGCGCCAAGACCAACTGGGCACGCATAAGATCTGCTATTATTAGTGTTCAGGCATCTTTGTCGAAATATCCAAGGGTTTCTGCACTTGGTAATCTGCTCTTCAGCTCATTGAATGCTCTTCTCTGCTCATCTCCAAACCTGAAACACACCCCTTTCTTTGATAAGTTACAAAAAGGTTCAGCTACTGTGGCAGTCTGGGATAAATTGTACATTGTAGTTATCTAGTCCTAGGAAGCTTCTAACTTCCAAGGCATTCTGCAGCTCTCTTGCCTTTGGTTAACAACAGCTTTCCCTTTCTCTTCAGTTGGTTCAATATACCCTTGTTTGTTAGCATCAGTCCCGTAAACACCAGTTTGGCACTTTTCTGCATTAAGTCTCAGGTTTTTATTTTAATTTTTCCAAAACTCGCTTTGAACTCTCATCATGCTCCTCAGTGGTTTTCCCATGCACAATTATGCCATTGGAGATGTTTGCAACTCCCTCACCGTCACTAAGTGCTTGCTGAATAACATGCATGCTGATACACTTCTGGGGCTGAACTTGTTGAAAGTACAGATGCTTATATCGTAACAATCCACACTGAATGATGAAGGTAGTAATGCTATAGGAATCTGGATGGAGTTCTAGCTGATGGTAACCCGACTTTAAATCAAGCTTGCTAAACACTATGCTTTGGTTTAGGCTTTGGAATACTTCATCCATGGTAGCTATGGGTTAGCATTCTCTGATTATTGTTACATTGGCTCTACGCATGTCCACACAGAGCTGAATTTCATCATTCTATTTTGGCACCACCACCACTGGACTAACCCATGGTGTCAGGCCCTTTATTGGCTCATTTGAATAATATCCAAACAACTTCCTCGACCTTTTTCTTCGCCTTGTCACAGAGGCTGAACAGAGTGTGCCTGATTGGCTGAGCTACCGGGGGTACATTGGGATTAACATGTATCTTGACCTGATATTCTTTTGGCTTGCCCACACCATCAAACACTTTTTTGTTATCTGACATGATCTCCTCTTTGGACTGCAGCACATAAACTTGAACATCTAACTTCAACACTCCTAGTTGCAGGACAGTTTCTCTTCCAGGCAGTGCTTTTCCTTCACCATCAATGACAACAAATTCAGCTTGAACTTCATTCTCAGCTACTTTTGTCAATGCTGAAAATGTCCTCAACTTTTATTTAATGGCTCCTTGTTTCCATATGCGTAAAGCCTCTTGTCACACTTCTTGGATACACAGTCTATCTTTGGCCGCTTTAGCTCACTCCATAGGCCTTTGTGTACAACATTAGTTCTCGCCCCTGAATCAGTCGCCCTTTTCATAACACATCCACCCACAATCACCTCCACTTTTTTAGGCTGTGTCACTGATTTTACAGTGAACACATACTCATCTTCCTCGTCATCGTCTCCTCCCTTTATGTATCTCATCTTCATCTTCTCTTTTAGCTTCTTATTGGTTCTTGGATTGCCTGTCTTGGTTCTGCATTGCAAAGAAAAATAATCAGCGGCAGCCCATGTCTTGCAGGTTTTTCCTTTCACCAACACAGCTGTTGACGGCTACAACCACGCTTTGTTTTGGAATCTATCAGTGTCGTGTTGATGTCTTGCAAATATAATTTTCATGTAGACTAGTACGATCAGCCCTGCAGAATTCAATGTGTCTATAAATTGTTGCTGTTTTCACACTGTTTTATGATGAATTTAAAGTTACAAAATGCTACACAAAGTCGTTTTGTCTTTGTTGAGTTTACTTGCATGTTTAGTTTACCCCAACATCAGACAAAAACATTTAGCCAATTTCATGCTCCTTACCCATGACTTACACAACTTTAATCAGTACATGAGACTACTATGATCTTTTTGAAGCCTGATGTGAAAAAAGAGTAGAGGACTCTTTTTTCGATGTTTATATTGTTACTCTCTACCAGTAACCTCATGAGTCTTGAGATCTCGTCTTGACCGTGTTTAACAGTTTAAGAAATTATGGCGAAGCATTTTCACCATTTTAAAACAACATCTGGAATACTCTTCAGTTTGGAAGAAGATTGTTTTTTACCCAGAAACAGAGCGATTTCTTCCTATAATTGGAGATATATCTCGCCAAAAGTGATTGGAATTGACGGCTCTTGCTTAACACGGGAGTTGGGGCAATTTGTCTGCTTTTGCTCAGATGTCGAAAGCTATAGGAGATGTCAGCACTTCACAATGCTATTAGGGGGTACGGGTACACTTGGAATTGAGTGAGCTATTATGATGACGATGCAACCATCTCTCACAAATTGAAAGCCGTAACAGCCTGTGAGCAATCTCTCCCAGAGAAGTCACGTGCGAGTGGCAAGCGAAACGAGACATGAGGGGAAGGTGCAGGAAAAAGAGTGAGAGCTCCCCATTTCCTCGACCCCTCATGGCTTAGCTGATCACTCTCTTGTTCGCTTGTTACTCGAAATGGAGAGATTGCTCTCAGTCCATAACAATTATAGGTAATAGTGTGTGTTTGGTATTTGGTGAGCCAGTTTACATTATTAATTCCAAGGAAAAACTCATCCACATTCCCTTTTTCACCCATTTCAACCAATACTTAACAATTAACAGCATTGCGGCACTCATGCGTGCTTGACTCAAAAAATCCTGCCATCTGCGTGATATATCGATGCCCAAGTGTATGCTCCGATAGTGTCTTGTTAAGTCTAGAGAGGGAACACTCCAGATCTAATCTGCCATGCTTTTAATAATTAATCCCATCAACCTTTGTACCCCAGATGTTTCATGTATGCTATACTGAAAGTACACTTCAAGTTCGGTCTGAAATCGGGTATGGTTTTCGAGGAACTATGGGTAGAGTTTGAACATATCCGTTGTTTCAATTCCAAATGAATAAGAAAGAAAGATAATAATATGCGAATTCGAAATGGATTAAAGGGTTTAGTTTTTCGTTTGTCTTACGTTTGTCACTTTATTGATCACGGAATTTCAACCGCACACTGCAATTCTCCACCAAGCGATACTGTCGATTTACTGAGCCGGACTATGTTTACCACCGTGTTTGTTAGTGATTGGTGTATCACGATCCTCGCTCATAGTTGGTGGGTTTCGATATTATCAGAGGAGGAAACTGATACCTCAGCGGTCCGTTGTGCTAGTGATCGGCCATTTGCCAAGTAAATTGGCATTTTTCCGTCAAACCATGGAAGCTGGGCCAGCAGTGATGGAGGTACTGGAGTTGCCCCAAGGGCAGCCTGTGAAAATCATAATGGGATAACGAGTCAGCAATGATATTGTCCCTCCCGGCTGTTTGACAGGCAGTAAAAACAAAGGACTGACAAGCAGCTATAAGCAACAGGTGACAAAGAAGAACCATCATGTTAGGATCCCTGGACGTCCCCGAGCGCAAGACACTGACCACAGCCATATTGTGGGAACGAAATTCAATGCGTTTTTAGACCCAGACATGGCCCCACAAGTAAGCTGCCACTACCACCGGGAATAATTCCTTGTATGCAATGAATAAAGGTTGTTGAGCATAGGACCATTCGCCAACAAACCACTTCATTAAAAATGGCCCCATAACCCCCTGCACCAACAGCAACTGAAGAGAAGTGAAAGTCAGGTAGAGGTGCCCGCTGTGATGAAAGTAGGAAACTGAAACTGTTCCAGTAATGGAAAACTTCTCTCCACCAGGTAAGGTTGAAACGAAAGTCGTTGTTCAGCCTCATCGAGTGGTCATCCCGTCAAAAGGCGGACAACAAATAAATCATTTGACGCAGAAAAGTCCGTCCTGGGGGAATCACTTTACAAGCATGTTGTCATATATGCCCAATTAAAGATTCCAGTTCCTTCCTTGTACAGTGCTGTTTGGAAGATCAGGTGTCCAAAAGAGCAGCAATATGGTTAAACTTCTCCTGAGAGAGGCGAGCCCGAAAAGTCAGCGAGTCCAACTCAATGCCTAGGACAGTCAGACACATGGAAGGGCCCTTAAGCTTATCAGCGTGGAGGGGAATACCACTCTCTGAAAAGTGAAGAACACAGATATCCAGGTTTCGTTGGCAAACAGGAGAGTCCGGAGGGCTCAAGGTATGGAAGTCATCCAAGTAATGTAATAGAAATTGTACTTGATAATTGTGTTTTAGAATCCACTCAGGCTGGTCAGCAAAGGAAGAGAACATGAAAGGAGCCGAGCGTAAACCAAAGGGTAGGGCCAAATCAATGAAGTATTTCCCCTGCGATTTTATGCCTAACAGGTAACAGTCATGAGAATACACAGGAATGATGCGATATGCACTTTCTACATCAAATTTAGCCAAAAGAGTTCCTCGACCATGGATCATGATGCCATCAATGATATTGTCAACCTTCATTTGCTGAACTGAAATGGGTCTTTTGTAATCCTGTCATTAACACTGTGACCTTGGGGACTAGACGAGTCCAAAATAGGCCGCCATTTGCCGGGCTAGTATTTCTTCAGAGTCATTCCAAAGAGACTGATGTGAAGGTGTAATAAAGGAGAGGTTGAGAAGGGGACAGCAACACGACCTTTCTCAAGTTCTGTGATGAGAGAGTGGTCAATTACCGAAGGCTGAAAACACACCGTAGGCATCTTTTGACTTGCCTATTTTAAGGAAACAGACTCTGGGCTGAAACCAAGACGAAAACCAAAGCTAAGAGCAGAAATTACATAGTCCACCAATGCTTGATTGGGGTGAAGGCATAACTCATGCTGAAGTTTGCAGACGTTTATTGGGGTAACCCTGGATGGAGGGACCAGTTCTTGACGCACAGATCGTGGGAAGGAGGACAACTTGAAGCCAGGAGGATGGGCTGACATTAACTGGCATTTGGCAGGTAATTCTGCAATCGAAAGGGCAGCATTCACCGAAGTCGGTAACAAATCATTTGAGGCCTGAACTGAATGTGACATATTTACACTATGTACAGACGTGAACTGGCACGTGGCACGTAAATCAGTAACAGAAAGAGATGCGTTATCGGAAATGGTGAACAAACTGTCTTCAGATTGAACAGAACATAACCTATTTACACTAAGTACAAGGTCCTTTTCACAAGTACCACTATGAGGGTTGGCCACCATGGTTGGCCACCATGTTAATGCTGCTGGTGCTTACTCTGAGTTGGAGATGCCGAGCGGGGATGCTGGATATGTGACCTGAACACCTGAAAAGGACCTCACACAGTTGACGCGGGGGTGGTCGCCTTCACACTTCTCACAGCAGTGATGGTAGTGGCATTGACCAAAGGGCCATTGGCAGGAACCATCATTTCATGCACGGCAGAAATTGGACGGCAGGACAGAGGAACCACGAGGCCTGTGGCGAGCCATTTTAGGATGAGCCTGACTGAAATGGTGAAGTGCGAGTAAGAAAATTGTAAAGATCCAGATACATGCGGGACCAATCTGTCAGACAAGATGCTGCTGCATCCCTATGAAAGGCAACGTCATAGTGGAGCCAGGCTTTCCCAGGGAATTGGCGGTAAGTCTTGATAATTGGCAGCTTGCATTGGGTGAGATTGTGCCACCTGGAAGGGTGTCCACTGCAGAAGATCCAAGAGAATGATGGTGAAAGTAATGATGTTTGTAATCTCCTGGACCCTCTTCTTAGAAGATGAGACCAGAAGTTTGCCATCCAAATAAGTGTGGGGCTCTGACTTCTGAGCGTTAAGATTTTCTGCCAACTAGTCAGCCAGATCAACAAACTGGCCAGTTCAGATCTTCGTCACCAACGGGATAGGTGAGTATCCAGGACCCACAACAAATGGCCTATTTAGTGATGGTACCGCACAAATAGTGGAAGTAGCTGGGATGGAAGACCCTAAAAGTGGCAAAGATGAGCCATGCCTGCCGGAAATAGCCAGTGGTCCACTCGTGGCACCGCCAGCACCACACGAAGATGGTGCCCCCACTATAGAAGAGTTGCATAAAGACAAATTTCCTAGGTTACAATATGTAGAAACACAGAAGGTATGCTGAGAATGTTACCTTATGAATGGCGGGCAGAGGAGGACGATCGAGAAAAAGTTGAAGTGGTATTAGAAGACGTTGACAACGGTGTAACATTTCCCGCCAATGGAGATGTCGCCGTAGCTAATGCCGTCATTGTGGAATGGTTCTGCATCACCAAGAGAATTCTCGATAAAGACTTGCCCAACACTTGAGAAAAAGTAGTGGCCAGATCCTGCTGGGACCGGATAAAGGAAGACGACGATGTCGCTGTAGCAGAACGAGGCGAAGACACTTGTGTTGGAAGGCGATGAAACCAAAGAATTCCCATGTGATTCCAACATTGCGGCTACGCTGTTGTTCGTGGAGCCGGTCGTTCTCCATTCAGCCATGGAAACTACTCAAAAAACCGCTAAGAAACCACTTATAAACTGAGTCACAATGTTGTGATACACGCATACTGAATAAAGCACACTAAAAGTTGTTGAACACACCAAAATGGCGAATGCTAAATGCACTAGACCACGCTAATGTGCACACAGGTCCTAGAGCATGATGGATCTTGGTTCATGCGCATCTTGCACGTACTGCTGGCCATGCAGCAAGGTAAAACAAGTGCTCCTTGTTGTTAACTCTGTTAAATTGCATGTAAAATAAATAATTAACAACAATGAAAAGGAAACATAAAATGTTCCGGCCTTTTCCTTTGAAGTAGCTGTAAACGGTAAATGTTCTCAAAGACGGATGGCTGCTTCGGGCATGATGCACAACACCTTGATATTCTAACGATCATCTTTCTAATCAAAACCTTTCAGAAACAACTCAAAGTCTGGCAAGATTCTTCAAAAACAATATTTTTCCTTTATTCTCTTAAAGCTTTGCCTGACAAAATGAGAAGAAAATATAGAAAACTCAAAAGATTGTCCATCCTCGCCAAGCTTTCCACTTCGAACAACATGGAAAAACGAGACTGCAATATCCTAAGTTTTGGCTATGTGGAGGTCAGCGGCTAAAGTTGCATCATGACATGGATTGTTGCCCACTTCATTTTGGCCTTCGGAATGACCCGATGGTAAATTTGAACTTGATGCAAACGAAAATAAGACGTCAAAGCCTTTCCTTGATACTTTCAGGAGACCACAAATGATAGATCTTTGACTATTTTTGCTTTGAAGAAAGTAAACTGTTGTGACCATCGTTAAACTAATAAAACCAGAGGTCAAGATAGCGGTAAACAAAGCAATTTTCACGACTTGCTCCTTTTAAATCATTTTATCGTTCCAATCATTTTCAATTGAACCAAACGATTATTTTTGTCTCTTTTCTTTTATTTCCCCCGCAAAACCCACAGGGCACGGTATTATAGCCTAATTTTCGCACGATCAACCACATTTGATCTCGGTGGCACAATTAGCAAATCTGTCAACTTAGCATCTGATCTGATGGGTTCGGTTCAAATCCTATTTATTCCTCGAGTGAAACGAAAGAACTCGACATGGTCTCAAGATATCTGGAAGTTATTCCGGTCTCACTCCTTGAAATAGCCGAAACAAGCCTAAAAGTCACGAACTTGCATGCCCAATCTTTTGCTGAAACTAGTGCATAATTTTATGGCTATTTTTCACATTCCAAACTACCATAAGTCATAGCTAGTGGCGCAATCAGCTAATCCCTCAATGTATGAGTCTACTCTGATCTGACGGGTCACACAGGTGAGTCGGTTCAAACCCGAGGCAAGCCAAAATAATAATTATTTCTCCCTCAAATAAGACAAAGCATAAATAACAGAACTCAAAGTGATATCAAGATATCTCGAACTCATACTGATCTCGCTTCGTCACACAGCAAGCTCAAACTGAAAACCTACGGACTTTGCGTGCCCAATCTTGTCTCAAAAAAAGCAACTTTGGGATATTCCTGAGTGTGGAGAATCCTTTACTTGACCTTCCACCCAAGTAATAAAAGCAGCTTTTTGGGACAAAACCTCAGCCTTTTTTTTCTCCTGAGCTCTACTGGCTTGGTTTTAATTTCTTATTTTAGCCAATGTGAGACATGATCAGGTGCTGACATCTAAGCTGAACAATAACGCCTAAAGGCTCACTTAGAAGTAAGGATTCTGCTGCAAGAACATTTTGAAAGAAATCTCTAGATGTTCATAGAATTTTTTCAAAAAAATTCCACATCAATCCTCCTTTAGAGAGCAAATAATATTAATGTTACACTTTCCTCAGGGACATTGAAATATAGCACTTCTCAGGTAAAAAGCCCACCATTTCATTGTTAAAGACTGTGACAGTTTACAAATGTGTCAAAATAGTTCTCCAACTGTATTTCGTACGTGATGCCTGGCTTCCAAATTAATTCATTTTTTCACAAATGGCCAGATATCCATGAATAGCTTAAAAAGTCCCAAAAACCTCCTTTTGGTTTGCCTGAGTTTGGACACAGTAAGTTTTGTGGTGTCCGTTCTTTGAACAACTGGTTTCCTTCTTTTGTTTCTCAGGAGGATGGGAAGCTTGAGAACAGTATCTATGGTAGGAAACTCAGTGTTAACATTTGATTTTGTAAAATTAATTTGTATTAATAGGCTCCTTTAAAGTTATTAGCATTTCATTTCATGGCAGTGAGGCCCAGAGGCCACAAAAGTAAAAAAAAAAGAAACAGACATGTATTTTTCATACCATTGTGTTCATTGTTTTTGTCACCTTGACCATCAACTTGAATTTTTAGTGTAGTGAGGAGCCTACTAGTGTTTTCTTTCGAGTTTGTTCTCACATTATTTTTGTGTGACGAATGTATATGAAATAAATCGTATAAAATTATTAGAACTACGGAAATGGAATCAAATGAAGAATGATCCTTGCAGTTGTGAACGCAATTTATGAACACATAACTGACCAGCTCATAACATCAGTGGCTTCATAGCTTAGTTGGTTGGAGCGATGCACCGGTATCGCGAGGTCAAGGGTTCAAATCCCATCAAAGTTCTGAGTTTTTTTTTTTCGTTCATAACTGCGAGGATCATTCTTCATTTGATTATTTTTGTTATGTCAAATTTGATGAAAAGAAGCTACCCACCGTATTATAATCTATAGTCAAACCTCTGTTGACAGATGCCTCTTGTTAGCTCACACCTCCCATATTCCTACGACTTTATTTTTTTGTGAAATGTTGAAACATTCCTTCACTTTGTTTCAACTAAAGTTTGCCACATTTTCTTTGATTATGTCAAATGTCTTACTATCTAACTTTGTAAGGCTTTTTTCATCATCATGTTTTGTATCAGGATAGGTCAATAAAATCCGGGAATAATAATACGGGAATGAGGTAAAAATTTGTTCAGAATGACTGGGTTAAAAGACCCTGTTGCGGATGCTTATTAAAAGCACAGATCTTTTCTATTCTTGAACGTATTTTTCTTAATTTTAACCATTATAAGACATAGATGTAATTGACCATTGAAAAACATACACGTAAATATTCTTTGTCCTTAATAAATCTAGGCTGCAAACTTAATTGGAAATGGAAACACGGACAAGAAACTTGCCAAGGTATTTCTATTTTATTTTATTAATAACAGAACTATTGCTTTGTTTATTACATACATGTGTAGCTCTTATAAACAGCCAGAAAGTGCTGCAAAGAAAGCTTAGTTTCCTTCGGCTGTGTGTTTACAATCATGGATTGGGGATCGCGAAAAAAAAATTATTTATAGGGAACAACTCTTCTAGAAATGTGTGGATCATGGTGATACATGTAGACCTCAGGCTTTACACCAGTTTCGCTACTTGTCAGATCCTCCATGTTCGAGTTAAGGGCATAAAGGGCACATAAAGGGCTTGCTGCCTTGAAAACTTGTCCCTGGAAAAACATACAAGAAGATTTTTTTCTGGGTTGATTAACATATTGCATGTACATTGTGCTGTTTGATGGTTTAAAACAGAAACTAATGTGTCGCAAATGGTCTAGAGAACTAGGAGGTAATGAATTCGTCAAATAGCAAAATCAGTTGCTACCTTCCTCAGTTCTATCACGAGGGTGGTCTCCATCCAATTTGCAACTGTTTTTCAGATCGCTGGACCTTTTCAATGATATGATAATAGGAAACTTTATCTCAGATGTTTACTGCCCTTCGTGGAAGTTCCAGGGGCGGATCTAGGGGAGGTGCACGGGTGCGCACCCCCCCCCCGATGACCTTAAACAACTGGTTAAGTTTTATCTGAGAAAAAAGCGCCAAAAAAAAATCCTTCCGTTTCATCTGGATCCCTCCCTACTTGTGTACCAGGATTTGAGTACACGCCATGATTGGCCTGTTAAAAAGCCATCGCTGATTTACCAATAATGTTGAAGGGAAATTTGAAATGCACTTCCAGTAATTTGTGAAGTCCATTGGGAGCCCAGAACAAGAATCAAACCACCCTTGTGCATACTTGAAAAGTTTATGTATAGAATTATGTATAAATGATGTATGTTTGATTTATTGACATTTACATCAGCCTTATTAAGTTCTCTTGTTATTTTACACTACATGTAGATGTCTGAGTTACATAGCCATTGATTAAATAACAAACTTTCATATATTTTTTTTTCCTTAGGCTTCATTTGCTAAACTACAAAACCTTCTGAAATTACCCAAGGCAGCCAGATGGTGCTACTTTGAATGGTTTTACTCTAGTTTAGACAGGTACAGTTTGTAGCAAGGAGTCACAGCTTGCAGTGTCAATTTGATTGTCATGTTACCAGTCACACATTGAATCCCAGTAGTGCTTTATTCAAGCCTCTCTTTGAACACAATCGCAAGCTAGGATTTGCTATGTGGTCTGGAGATAAATTGATATTAACACCAGACTTAAAGTTCTTGCCTAATTCCTGAAAGGCTGATTAGTGATAATCTGACTATGGTTTTACCTTCCTATATAGCACATAGATTGTTAACAGTATCGGTATTTGTGTCATCATAGCTGGCAACCGTCCTTTTCTAGACAAGAACTTGGCTAATTGTGCTGCTAAATATAACTCCCTTTAATGGTCGTTTCTTTCCTTGTCTTTTCTGTTTTTTTTGTTTTGTTTTTGTTTTTTGTTTTTTTTTTCATTTAGGGTCTTATTTGAAGGCATTAATGACTTTCATGTTTGTTTGAAGGAGTCATTTCCAAACTTAAAGGTTGGCGTTTTTTTTCAATTTGTTTCATGGTTAACTTAGTTCTCTTTGTGTAATCAGTCAGTCGATGTTCGGTTCATAACTTAAGCTTAAAAAGAGATAATTTACTCTCCTTCAATTACTCTACTGTAAGTTATGTCGATCCTTTCGTTTCCATTAAAAAAAACAACAACAAAAAGTAGTCTGACTGTACTTTTTCGTCTTGGAGACGAAAAGAGAGATGAACCAACAACCTGAGGTCTTAAAAAAGAAAGAACAAAGAAAAAAAAGGTCACGAATATGGGGCATCTGTGGTCAAATCTCTTCCCTAACGGACATATTCTCAAAACGAAAATTGGTCCCTGATGTTCTTCAGAAATCTGCCATGACTTTCTGTAAGCAGGACTCCTCTCTTAGACGAAAACCTAGTGCAATTAACGAAATGGTGTCCTTCTTATAGAGAATTTATTTTGTTACTAGTTTATTCATTGTTGTTTTTCCTAATTTGGCTTTATAGTAAATTATTTGCTGGAGTCGCTTCTCTCCATCTGAAATGTAGTCTTGCGAGAATTCTCGCGGGTTATTTCTGGGTTTTTAAGAGCAAGGCTGTGATTGGCTTATAATATCCTACGTCGCAGAAATCGTTTTGCGCTTCGGGCTCGGGTAGGGAGAAGCGACCACCGAAGTATGTCTACGTTGGAAGGCTAACTGTATCAGTGTTTGTCCATAACGTGAGATTGTACAGGGATATCTTTTCTTGAAATAGTAATACATGTTTGTGAGTTGCACAATAATGTGACTTTATTCCTATTGTTTTCGTTTATACCAAGACTCACAAACTACGGAGAGCAGAATGGAGAGAGATTAGACGTCTAATGGGAAAACCACGAAGGTCAGTTTTAGATATGTAACATTTAAAGCACTAGTAGAAGTGTTTTATGAGTTTTGAAAAACCAGGCGTACATAATTGTTTTTAATACCGACAAATTGCGAGTTTATTTAACAGCTTAAAAATCGTGTCTCTAGATATGTTCCTTCTTCTTAAAAGCTTTGAGTTTTTTGATGATTTTTCTCGGGAAAACCGGAGCTAAAACCTTAGCAGTGTTTTATCAAATTTAAAACACTCATTTTCCGCTTGAATTGGTCATGGGTAATGAACGATATGTTTTCCAAAACAATGCGGGTTATATTGACTATCCATAATTCATAACAAGAGTGGAAATCCCAAGTCCGCAATGTATTTCCCCGCTTTTTTTAATTTACCAACTTTTAATATCTATTTAACTTTATTTGAGACTTTGTTTCATATACACCTTACACCTTTATGTGGTTGCGTCGAGAAACACCTTTCTCCGGCAACCGTTGCACACTGTAAGAAAATACAGTCGAAGCTCTCGTAAGCGACCACTTCGGAAATTCGAAAAAGTGATCGTAACTAGAACTGCTCGCCTTCGAGAATGAGCTCTCGTAAGCCACCGCATGGTAAATCAGTAGAGGGTGGTCGCTTGCTAGAGCTTCAGAAACTCATTAATAATTCGTAAAGAAAACAAAAAGGAAATTATTGTTTAACGAGTGTCTTTATATAGGATATAGACACGGCTAAACTTGACGTCCAATTTTTTAGACGATTAGCGCAGTGTGCAGTTTCATTAGTGTTGATTTATATGAATAAGACTGTGAATGGTCGCATACAAGAGCTTAAAAACAAAGGAATAGTCCAGTTGGGTAATTCCAAAAAGGGTCGCGGTCGCTTACGGGAACGATCGCAAGAAGAGCGTCGACTGTAATGGTCAGTTAAGTTCACAAAAAGAAGACTTGCCTTCAGCTTCTAAGCGCGCAATCCCGGAACGGTCTGTTCGGGTGTATTGGACATGTGTGATGATAAAATCAAGAATTTGGCGATAAATGTACCACTTCGCAAAACTAAGTTCACCACGCTACTTACAACGAAACAGCGAAGTGGTCCTTATCAAGTTTTGATCATTAATATTAACTTTCTACTCTGTGTGTTGGTATGATATAATCAAGAATTTCATGAAGAATACAGTCAGACATAATCGTGCTGTATTAAAGAGGCTTTTTTTAGGAGTTTGGAAACTTCTTTTGTAAAAGCACTATACCAAATTTCAGTGTCATTTTATATGACGCATTACTTGATAGGTGCCTCACGTGCGTTGGCAATCGGTGGTTCTTTGGCGTGTTTCACAAAGGCTGCGAATACAGCTCTCTTTCCTTGCTCCTCACCGCTGAGGATGTTTGGCGGGAGATACGTCTGCGTTTGACCCCCAAAATTCGAGACTGATGACGTAGATATGTCCGGAATCTGGTCAACGGGCACTGATTCGTCGACGTTCATATGTAGTAATTCTATTTTTTTAAAGAAAGTGTAGAGAAATATCAGTGGGGTGTTTTTTCTTTTTAATAGTGGTCTCCATTTTTGGCTTGTAGGTGTTCCCCTGCATTTTTCTTAGAAGAGCGCCAAGCTCTGGAGGAGAAACGACGGAAGATCCGCATGCTCCAACAGAGGAAGGTTAGCGCCTTTTATTATCAACAATGCTGTAAATTTATTCCTTATTATTAATTCATTATATCACCCAGACTTCGTCAACCTCGAAATGGCCATTGGAAAGATCGCATTGCAGTTTCACGTAACCTTTTAAGTGAGTATCTAGAAAAAACCGGGTTGGGTTTACTTTCCATCGTTTGTGATTTTTTTGGCCCGTTTTCGATTGGGTGATTTTGCGTTCTGTTTTGGCTGCGGTTTTTATTCGATTTGGTTGCGATTTTCTGAGTTTATGGCGAATTGTTGTCGATTTTGGTGCGATTTTCGAGTCGTCATGCAGCGGTTAAAGTTGGGAGTAAACATTTATCCACTAAGAGACTCAAGGTTGATTTTTGGCTTCTCTCGAAGAGATATTTGCCGATAAAAAGCATCAAAATGAAATTCAAGCAATGTCGAAACAACGGCAGTTTCGCAGGGACAAATCGTCTTGCAATCGCAGGAAAAATCGCACGTAAAATCTCCCGTGTATAATGGTCTTTACAGATAACGTCTTGGGAGGTCTGTTTTAAGGCTGATTTAGACGGTACGATTATTGCTTACGACTATCGTGCGCGACTAGCATGCGTCATGACTTCACGACAGATCGTGTCGTTTAAATTAGACCCATGACATTCGTACGACACATGTGGATGTCGTAAGTGAAAATTGTGCGCGTGTGGATGGTCGAAAGTCATGACGTATACTAGTCGCGCACGATAGTCGTGAGTAAAACTCGTACCGTCTAAATCGGCCTTTTAGGGCACCCTCCTCTAGAATGAAATACTGCATGTTTTAATCCCGCCCTACTGTTGTTTACATTTCAACAGGTCAGTGAACTTAGCAGGTTCAAGGATTTGCCAGACGAGGTCCCACTACCCTTGGTGATTGGAACAAAAGTGACAGGTTGTTTGATTTCCATTCTCTTTATTTTTCTTCGCTGTTGTAGTTCTTTAAAAAGACTTTTGTGAGGCTACAATAACAGGGTATTCGGATAGGCCCTTTGTAACTCTGGGTCACGTGGTTAATTATCTCTAGCAGGAATAGAAAGAGCACAAGAAAATTAGCTAACGTGTAAATTTTCAGGCCTACAAAGTTAACGGGGAGACACGTTTAACACGCTGTCGCCCTACTACTTCTTTTCTTTGATTCAGCTCGTCTTCGAGAACCTCAAGATGGTCTTTTCACTGGGCAGATTGATGCTGTTGATACTGCCAACTACTCGTACAGAGTCACTTTTGACCGACCAGGTTTGTGAATAGGGATTTTAAAATGCCACGACGGCGACGACAACGAGAACGTCGAAAAAAGTAATAGGTTGAATAGGCAAAACGACAACTCTGCACGTGCAGCACGCTTTTTTGTACATTTCTTTGTCGTCACTGCACGACTACAACGTGAAAATGCCTAATTTCACGTTTTCTGGAGGACGTAAACGAGCGACGACGAAAGTTTTCTTTCTCTCTCTGAACTTGGATATGGTTGTTAGGAATGCGGCTCCAGACAAAGTAAGTGAGTTGAAATAATCGGGATAGAAATTGGAAGAACGCAAATTCACTTTTTAGCTCACGTTTTCGTGGCCGTCGCCGTCGTGGTATCTTAAACCCTCTAATTACGCGGTGTGATCTAATCTGTTCGCCACTTTAGAAACCGGAGAAGGAAACTGGGAGGAGTTGACTTTCTCAAAGATTTCTGGGTCTGTTACCAGTGACAAGGGGGAAAAATTGGCCAATAGCTGACCGGCACGTCCGCAGTAACGATCCCATTAATAACTGCGGGAGACATTTCGGCACCATTCCCTTTATCGGCTCCTAAGGGGCGAATCACCATTTTGAGATGGCGCGTGAGTCTGGGTCGGTGCTGTCTCGAATTGCACTAATTGTGTCTGGTTTATAGACACCAGTGCGTCTTCCATCGACCTCTTGCGAAGTTGCTCAGAAAAGTGAGTCAAAATTCGCTTGCCAAATCAGATAGGTAGTGCAATTTGACGCAGCAATAACGAAGCCTCAAGGGCAACTTAAAAATTGCCAGTGATATTTATTATGTTGATAGTCTCCTACACAGCCGTTTTTTTCTTGTCTCGCCATAGAGGAGCGTTGCGTGACGAGACAAAATCGGATACGTGAGGGACAATGCTCTTGATGAATCTCAATCCATATAAATAGTCCAACTTTGTGCTTCGTGCGAAATTCTGGAAGTTTATTGGCTGATTGGGCTGTGTTTGTTGCGTCAAGGCCACGATTTTTTATGCATTGGTGTTCGTTTTGAATATTCTGCAGAATTGTTTTAACTATACATTAAATTTTACTTGAATGTGTTACCTTTATTTTGAAAGCAGATTTCAATGTTTTTACGCCATTATTTGGACATAGAATGTAGTTTGACTTTTTGCTTTTCAGTCACTGACTTAGTTTTTTTTTTACTATAATTCGTTTTAGCGATTCAGAACCCCCAGCAGAGAGGTCTGCCATTCAGAGATCCCTTTTTCGTGATTTCCTTGCAAAGAAGCCGCAAAGCGTCTTCATGTGGGTTAATTTGCCGTTAGAGCAATCGCATCAGTCTCCAACCTTTCAATAAGATAGTTTTGTTACTGATTTATTTATTCAGTTTTTGTTCGTTTGCAGTTTGTTTTTTCATGTTTTAATGTCGTGATATTATCATTCTCTACAACAGGACTTGGTACTCATTCTGTACCGGATATTGAAATACTGGTAAGTTAATACCTATAAAGGGTGAAGAGATCCCTGACACCATACCAGAATGAGCACGATTCAGTATAGGAGGGCGCAGAAAAGGGCAAAATACCACGCTGACCCGAAAATTGCCATGAGAATCTTGTTCCATTACCCACCTACCTTTCCTTTCATAAAATCCTAAGGTCGTAAAAGCTTTTCAAGAATCTTTTCCCACCAAAATGAAGCCTACTAAATGCCCAGGAAAAGAAAAAAATAAGACAAGAAAAGTGAAGGAAGAGGGAAGGAGAGAATTTAAATTAAATTTTGCCTTCTGCGCATGCCCGAACTTCAGAAGCAAATATTTTGCATCTCGATCAGAAGGCCGCGAAGTGCGCGCCGTGCAAACGGTTTTGTGGTAAGTTTTCGCTGTTTATAGCCAGGCAGTGACCAGAAAACGGCTCGACTAGCTTCAAAACGCGATTCTCGGCGAAATTCCCATGGGCGAATGGGTTAAAATTTGTCTCTATTACTGTTTTGTTCTTTTGTTATTTTCAGAGTGAGGATATGCATGACACGATGCCTATATCCTCATTTCTTCAAAAGGAAAGACCACGCACTGCTGCATTCTCGCCTGCTTACACCCCACCAAGGTACTCTAAAAGCGGCAAACTGCCAACCCACCCCCTCCCCTAAATCAACGTTAACACTAAAATCTCACCTAGGGCAGAATGGTAGGTTAGGGAAGGGGTGGGTGGACACTTCCCCAGACTCTTATCCTGAACCTCACATCCTATGTCAACAAATGACAACACAAGTCCAAAACGTTTCCCAGTTAAAGGTTTTTTGTTTTTCGGCCTAACCAGAGAACGTTTTGAATCTTCACTTGGCTTATCCTGGTTGAATGATGAACAGTAAACAGTCATCATCTTAAATGTTGGGTTTTTGTATTCTTCATAAAGAGGTATCCAAATGTTGTCTAGAATAATAGCTGATCGCAAACACGTGCTCTTGATCCATTATATCTTTGAAACGGGATATGTGTATACGTCTATTCGAGGAGGCAATGTTTAGTAAATTCTCTGACAAGCGAGCAGTTTTTGCTGTTTAAGTCACTAATTAAGACCTTCTGATCGGATCTTTTTTTTCGTTTCTGCGATGGTATAAACGAATAATTTTATGCTTCGGTCCATGTTTTACCTCAGGAAGCAAGCGACTCTTCAACTCTCAAATTTCCTCAGTGGTTGAAGAGCATTTTTTTTTTCCTCGGTCTTCTCCTCTCCCCTTGATTAGCTTAAGCTAACTGCTGGTTTTGAGAAATATTTCTTTTTTTGTCTTTTCAGTTTACTTTAATTTGTTACTTGTACAGTTTTTTCATGTGCAATTAAGTTGTTGTTGTTGAAGAGGGTGCAATCGCTTGGGCGAAAAAAATACGCTTCTATCCTTTCCAGTCTCTGTTCTTTATTTCACCGCTGATACAGTCCCATCTTCTGTGATTTTAGTCTCTCTGAAGGTTCACTTAATTATGGTTCTCATTACCAGTAAAATCTTCAAGTTGCAATGCTATCGTCAACTTTCATTTTGAATTTTCCAGTGTCATTTTATAGTACAATAACGGAACGATTTTTGTGCGCTGATTGGTTGAGATCTATGATTGTTGAGAGTTTTGACCATGAAAACGATGGATTAATGTCGCAATTTGTTGTTCTTTTTCTCTCGCGCGATTTCCAAGACACTTTACTGGAAATAAGCGTCAAAAATTTTCTGTTATTTTAAAAAACAAATGACAACAATTTTCCTATCGACCATAAAAAAATGACGTCAAAATGTTGAGAACTTTGCAGTGACTGACAAACGCCACTCGTCTGCGGCTTGTTGTCCCATTTGAGTTTTAAACATTTTGATGTCATTTCTATGGTCGACAAGACTATAGACCATGGAAAATGGTTAGTATTACTTTCTCGGGCGTTTTTACACACGAAATAGTTTGACGTGAACTGTGGGACTCGCTGTTGTTGATGAAAAATTCTCAAGCTCATTAATTATTCATGCAGCAAAAAACCAATAAATGACGACCATTTGGGTCAGGTGGATGAATCTTGATATCTTAGGAAACGCCAGATAAACACCACCAAGTTTCAGCCATCTGAGGTCAAACACTTGCATTTAAATGAGATGTATTGATTAACATAACTCATGGAAACAATGCAATACCAGAGAAAAAATGTCACTGCTTCGTGCTTCATCATCGGTTCGTAACACCTCGAAAGAGCCAGCCTTGTGCTTTTATCTGTTTTCTGTGTTTGCAGCCCGTCATGAAGCACTCACCCTCGTTTTTGACACATTACTTATTGCTTTCTCAGGCTCCTGCCCGCTGGTGGTGATTTGAACAGTCCAAATATGGTAAGTTCATGTCGTTTTATTATCTCATGGCGTTAGACGTCTTTTCAGTAATATCTTCCACGCTCACACAGCCATGCTAGTTTCATCGATTTGTTAAAATTCGTTAGTGCTGTATGACCAAGACACTGCAGATGATTTTAAATGAGGCTTAATGGTAATCAGTGAAGGTTAACTATCCAGCCGTTCCTAGTCGGCGGTTTTATCAGTTCATTCTGTGGAGCGGGGGAGGCAGGGGATTCTAGAAGTACCTACCTGGGCTTTTGCGTGTCCATCTGTTCCTGTATTGAGCCATTACGTTTTCCTCCCTCCCTCCCACCTTTTTGTATAGACCACAGGTGGTCTATGTCTAGGGTGAAACCGAAACTTCCTTCCTGCCCAGGGGATTTGCTGTATCCTGCTATTTTGCGACCTGTATGGCAATCCATTATCTCAATAAGCTTCTAGTTCATCACGTCAGTAACCATCTGTTTTATTTGAAAGGTCCATGACCCCCTCATAGGAGCGTCACCAGGAAGGTGAGAAAAACACCTATATTTAAAACCATAGTAGAGAGGACTTGTTATGAAAGAGGGCAAACATCGAAGATAAAAACAACAGTGCTTCACTTTATGTTGGAAGCTCCCTGACGGTGCACAATCCTTTGTTCTTTGTTCACAAATTGTGACGTAATAAATCAGTGCGACGTTTTTGTTGATCAGTAAGATCAAAATGATAGGAACGCTATAGTACGTTGTGCACCGTCAAGTTCAACAAAAACATATATTAAGGGAGTCTGACGGGCTTCATAATCATTCCATTCTATTAGCTATGGTATAACTTAGTTTTAACTCCATAATTCAGTGTTTAACCTGCCCCTTCTCGGAGAAGTCGATCACCACACCTCTCGGGTTGTATGATGCCAGTCATCGTAAAGGAGGACGTTGTTGCTTGTCATCGGGAAATGTCTTAAGCCCCTCGGTTGCCCCAGAAATTAAAAACTATAGAGGCCCGTTTATATGGAGAAAGCAGCTGCCCCGGAAAGAGGATCACCCTCTTAGCTGAGTCGTCGTTAGTGAGCGTTTATATCAGAAAACCGTTAATCCTTTTGCCCCGAGCCAAGATCTCTCGCGCATGCTCTGATTGTCTCGCTTTGACCGAGTTGACCTGGCTGGGCATGCCAAAGTGTTTACGTGGAGAAAAACGAGGGTGACTCTATGACTCTATCATCGAAAAAGGCGGTCATCCCTCTAGCCCAGCCAACTTTTTGTTTCTCATGTGAACGGTTCTCCACGTTTTGTAAGGAAATGTAGGAATAGTAGGCTGGCGAGGATAACTTGGGTAGGCGAGTGACCCTTATGCGCGGACAAATTAGGGGGCTCAAATAGAATTCATTTTGCAGCTATGAAATGAACAATTTTGTTGGACTCACGTTGTGGAGTTTAAACAGCGGTCTTTGGAAAGACCAAACACCCCACATCTTAATCCCATCCCGTTCACCCAGCACTTGTCCTAACTCTGGTCTAACATAGATCGATGGTTCTAACAATGGTTCTTGTTGGTTTAACAGGTTGCGACTTCAAGATGCCATCTCCCAGCAGGGACAAGGTACTCGTCGAATCACCCATGTTGTCTTTGTCTGTGGCGTGAAATATGAACTGTCATCATCAACAATATCACCTTCATGTTGTCAATTTTTTTCAAAAAAAAACTTCACCTCTTATTTGTTGTTAAGGTTACATTGTTTATTTGCTTTTATCTTTTAAGGTGGCACTCTGGGCGGATTCCCTATCAGATTTCTGATTCTTGTGGTAAGTGGAGCATAAATCGACGGTTATTATCAAATAATAATTGTAAATGTTTACCGTTTAGGATGTTTTCGACGGGGTAAAACTTAACTCTAGTCATCCCTGTTTCCTCTGCCATGGCGGGAGTAGTGAACTGGACAGGATAATTGTCAATGGCCATGGCGTTAATCTTGATCGCGATCACGACACAGCACTCTTACTCCCCACGCTCCACGCGCGCGCGAGCGGAGCCTCACACCTAAGAAAATTTAGTAATCTATCCATCCGGTAATCACGTGACCGTACGCCTGTCCGTCCGCACCTCAGGGAAACCAATGTGAAATGTCAAACTTCCTAGCCAGTGTGGAAGCCTGTAGCCTGAGGTCTTTCATCTTTTTTGTTATAGTGGCTTAAACATTTAGCCAGTTAATAAAATTATGTTGATTGAATACACCGTGGGTTTCTTGGTTAAGAGTATTCAGTAATAACTCAAGAGTTTCGGTATTAATCTTTTTTTTTCAGACAAGGTTATCTAAGATCCTGTTGGTTAAAAAGGAATGCATAGAAAAACTGAGAGACATGAACACACAAGCAGAGAAAATGGTATTACAGTCAGTTTTTTTCATTGTGTATTACTTCTACTCATCACCGGCACGTATTCTCAGCGAGACACACCTATAGAGGAAAGTCTGTCAAGTCGTAGAATCATCGCGCAGAATGTCTATTGTTCTCGGAACATTTACTTCCAGTTCAACAAAGTTCGCAGTGGATTTGGAATTCTGGCGCTAACGAAGTCGCGCGAATGAGTTTTATCAACGCTGGTGGGCCAAAAGAGGCCCTTTCTTCTCTTATTCGGAGCTTATTGAAAGCGCTCGTGCGTTCGAATTTGCCGCTTCGGCGGTCATGAATAGCTAATGATGTCCACTCATTCTTCGCGATGTTTAGATTTTCGCGACGCTGTACAGCCCTGGAAGTTCTAGTTTAAGTGTGGATCGTGGAACTTTGGTATTAAGTTACAAAATCACCAGGAATTGCCAAAATGTTTGTTGAACCGGGTCACAGGCTAGGGCAACTGAAGCATAACGTTTTTAAACCTTCTTAAGATGTCAGTTGAATAAACAAACCGCTGATTTTGTGTTGTGTTGGCTCCGGACTGGACACGAAGATGTCATTTTGTCAAGTCTGCTGAACTTGTAACTCTGCTTCTTCTTACTTTATGGCAGTGAGCCTGTAGTCTGTAAAGGAGGCTTTTTTTCCCTTAAGGGACTGGTCAAAAAGTATAGGGGGGGGGGGGGGGGGAGTGGGCCGGAGCATTTGGAAATGTGGTTGATAAAAAACTTATGACCCACCCCCTCCCTTCGGCACAAAAATGACTGACCCACCCCTAAAGCAAGGTTGGAAATTGCATGACCCACCCCCTAGTTAAAACATGGATGTTTGGTTTCCTCTAAGGCCATCCCCTTTTTTTTCTTCGTTTACCGTCGAACGCGTTTCCTGATATTGGGTCGGTCGGTCGGATTGAAAAAAAAAAACTTTAAAAAAAATCACAAGAAGTCTCGGAATAGTAGGCCTTGGTACCCCAGGACGACGTTAAAAGTTAACATTCACATATTTGGATTAACAAAATGTACAATATACTGTGAAAAATGTTCATGTTTTTGTTCCTGTTTTTCTCTATGCTGTTACTTTGCTCATTTTTCAGATTAAAAGAATTATTTCAAGTGAAAAATGGTGTAACTACGTCGTTACTTTTTTTGTTTTGAAAATGCCAAATATTTGGGTCGGTGGGATGACGGTAAACGGAGAAAGAAAAAGAGGATGGCCTAACCTTGTTCTGTGCTTGACAAAATTTGTTGATACACTGCTACAACCAATATCAAAATCACAGAAATCATACCTTTCACTGAAAAGACAAATGTGAAAAACCGAACATTTCTTGTTTCGATGGACGTTATGAGTCTTGACACAAATATACAGAAAAACGAGGGTATATTGAAATTGTCTGTCACAAAGCATATGAAAATTTCTACAAAGACAACCCATTCCTACAAAGAAAATTTCTTCCACTTCAATGGAAAGCACTACCTACAAAACCATGGAACTGCAATGGGCACAAAGACAGCAGTTTTGATTCCTTTACAACAACTTTAAGCAAAACTGTCTTTCGAACAACAGTTTGGAAATGCTACATACACGATATCTTTTCCCTATGGGACATGAGTAAACCAGACATCGAAGCCTTCATTGAACAAGAAAACTTACATCACCCAACTATTAAATTCACGGCCGAAACATTTGACACTGAAATGCAGCGTTTTTAGACACGGTTGTATATAAAGGCACAAGATTCAAGAAAATATCTATCCTTGATGCAGAGACACATTTTAAACAAACGGAAACCTTCTTGCACACACATTTCACCTCGTGTCACCCTCCAAGTGTTAAAAAAGGATTTGTCAAAGGAGAAGCCTTGAGAATCCTACGAAAAAACTCCTCAGAAACAACCTTTGAGGAAAAATTTAAAACAGAAAACGCTTGATGGACAGAGGCTACCCACAAACTTTGATAGAAGACCTACTATCAAAAATAAAATTCACAAAAATGAGTCTAAACTCCTAAAACAAAACATACAAGGAGGAAAAAGAAATATTGCCATTTGTGACACAATACCAACTCTCGATGTCTACTATAAAGGAAGCTTGAATAATAAAAATGGAATCTTATACAAAACCAACCATACCTTCAATAAATTTTTAAGGAACCACCAATCATTTCCTTACAAAAAAGGAAAATCATTAAAGGACATGCTCGTTAGAGCCAAAAAAAAAAAGTTACGCCCGTATAGATGCATGTGCGGCCTGTCACCCGTTGCATTTTCTCGCACAACAGGTTTGTGAGTATTTTAGCAATAATTCCAGCTGGCTGTGTTTTATATAACAAGTGTGGTCAACTGTCTCGTTAGTAGTTAGTGCCTATCTAGGTAATAAAATAGGGTGACCCACCCCCTAAGTGTAGCTGAAAATTGCACGACCCACCCCTTCGACAAGGCTCAAAACCTCATGACCCACCCCCTCTCTGCTCCGGCCCACCCCCGCCTATACTTTTTGACCAGTCCTTAACCCGAGCTTGTTACATTGATCGCAGTCGCCGAAATCATTTTTTGACTCGCCCGAACTCTTGGTCAGTTTTAACTTCCAAGATGGCGGGAGACTATGATTCTCAAGAATATTATTATCGCTCGCACTGCAAAATACGCCTTCTTTTCAAGCCAGCGTGCTTGTCATATAGTGCATTTTACGTGACTCAAAACACTTTTCGTATAGAAATCATATCAAGAGCCAATTGATAAGGAATTCCAAAGACGATACGCATCTGTGGTGTTGGAGTTAGAACGGCTTAATAAGGTATGTGATTTGTGTGTGCAAATTGTCACTGCAATACTAAGGTGATTGAGTGAACGTTTAACTTGCCTTGGTATTTGTTGATAAGTTAATAACGACAGTTGATGTCTCAACTCTACGGTTACTTTGATCTCTTAAGTGTTAGTAGTCCCCTATTTCACACAGTTTCAAGGCAATGCTTTAAGTTAGCCAATCTGTACCTCAGCGTGGTTTTTGATTGAATTATCTAAAGGAGTTTGCCTGTGCTTGTTTTTATATTCGTTACAGGATCTCAATGAATACTTAACAGGAGTCCAGGAATATTGCCAAGAGGTATGTACATTTTACACAATTTCTATCACGCATTTTACACTTTTTACGTTGTATTTATTTTATTTTTTTTATAATACTCTTCTTGGATACCTGCTTCCTTTTATTTCTTCAACGCACATTTGCTGATGCGTTCCTGCAACTTAATAGTAGTTTTCATCTCTCAAACTGACTTTGACGTTCACTTTCAATTACTTTAGAGAAATAGAAAGACAAAAATCAAGGAGAGCAAACCTCACACTCGACTAATTCCAGTTACTCGGGCTAACTTCTGGAAGCTTAATAAATTTATTATTAGCGGAGCTCTCTCGCGCGCAAAGCGCGCGAAGCAGAGCACCATGGGTTAGAAAATTTGGTTATCTATGCATCCGAGAAATTTTGGTAGTGACTTGTAGTCACGTGACCCTACATCTGTCCATCCGCACCACAGGCATACCAATGTAAAATTACTCAATCAACAGGTATGGCGACCCAAATGCAACTTGAGATTTTTTGGAGGGAAATTGCATGGCTAACCGCGTCTTGTGAGGCAGAGGCAATTAAAGAGTCAATAAAGACAAAAAGAAAAGCGGAAATTGTTTTTATGTTCGTGTTGTCTAAAGTATTAAGCTTACGTTAGTTGTCATGTCCACAAATTTGGAATATTGAGAAAGATAAAGACAGATAAAACGAGAAAGCAGGCGACAGGCTAGCGTTGCTCAACGACAAAAAGAGCGACAGAGAGCTAGAGCGGAAATAAAAATCGAAGAAGACGAATTTCTTTGTAACAACAGCATGAAAATTTTTCTACCGGTGGTGAGAAAATGAGAAATGATAGCCAGTAGTGGCCAGCAATTTAAAAATGAGCGGCAGAGGAAAAAAAAGCGAACAGGAAAACAAGAAACAACGGTAAATAAATGTACAAAAAAGTGTGCTGCACGTGCAAAGTTGTTGTTGTTTGTTTTTTTTTTATTTTTTGCCGTTGTCGTTGCCGACGCCGTTGAGCATTACACGGTTATATTTTTCGTCTGAGTAAATTATAAGTATATTAACGAGAGCTTCGCCTTTAGCCCTGGCTATTGAAGTCTATATATTAGCCTCATCACCTCTCCCTCCCTGCTTAGCCGGAGCTCTATTTTGTAAGGCTTGTTTACTTGGAGGTGGGGGACCCCAGGTAGGTGAGATAACACGCTTCTGTGGGGTAACCCGCCTGTCCATATAATCTCTCATTTTGATTTGATCACCTTTACATGTTAGGTGGGGTGACCCGCCACATATTACCTCACCTACCTGGGGTCCCGCAGCTCCATGTAAACAGGCCCTTAGTTCTGTTAGTTGAGTAATCGACAACAAGGAACACGCACTTCTTTACGTAAACCCCACAAGGTGCCCAGCCTTAGTTTATGAATTGGAAACTGGGAACTGAATAAAACAGAAGAGAACGGAAACGAAAAGAATCACCTATTTAAAATCATTTTGTGCATTTTTGTTTTAGCTTGCCCCAGATCAGGGAGTTCAGTCCATGGATCAGACCACTGGCGTTAGAAAGAGATGTGACGAAGAAGCGGCGCGAGTCGTGGAGTTGAATAACGTGGGCTTGTAAGTAGTAAATTACTTATGTAGATATCATGAAAAATGCTCACCCACTTGGGTGTCTCCCTTGCATCATTTGTGACCTCTTCCAACGTCTCCGTCTAACATAGCAACGGTGGAAGCAACGCCAACCGAACGCACAGAACGAGAAAATCAATTAAACCAAACAAAACGGAGACCAGATACGTGTAGCACGTGTAAAACCAAAGCGATTATCAAAGCGTTTTCGACACGTCTTTGTGAAACGCACCACAAGTTGGCGATGGACGGATCATTGGAAAAGTGATTGGGGGGAAGGGGAGAGGGGTGGAGGAAAAAAAATTAATGCAAACCAAATTGCCTGAAAAAAAAATATGCAAACCAAAAGTGACCAAAAAAAATATACTTGCAGAAGGAGAGTAAACCTTCAAGGTATAAGAACAAGTAATAATAAAGCCAGACTCCGTCTGCTGAACGTAGAGAGAAACTATGACAGAATGTGTGGTACAGTAGACCCCGCAACTAAGAACTTGAATTTTAAGAACCTGTTAGGCTAAAATTTGCCAGTTAAGCCCCCTCTATATAAGAACCTCATTAGCCTAAAATTTAAAACAGGTTCTTATTTTCTAAAATCTATGAAAAAAATGCCTTACACTTGGGAAACAAGATAAGTCAACATTCAGTATCATCTTTGGAGACATAGGTGCCTTATCACTCCAACTGCCAGATAATGGTATGCAGATTTTATATGAGGAATAAGCTGAACCACTAAATACTCTTAGCTATATTGAGTTTTTTCGTCAGAAAATAAGAACTTATTTAAGAGCCTAAAGGGGCTAATCTTCTGCAAACTACAATTGATATAAGAACCTGTTTAGGCTAACTTGGAAAAATCCGGATTCTTAGTCGCGGGGTTTTACTGTAATGTGCCTTAACCCACAGGCTCCTCCTCCACCCACACCTTCAACATTCTTGGATCAACAACGATCAATCCATGTCAACCATCAGGTGTGAAATGAGTTGATATGAGTTCAGTCACTCTCAAAGTCCAATGAATTACATGAATAATGTCCGAAGTGACTACATAGTGAGGCAAATATACATAATATTTAATATGCTTTATTTTGTACGTTAATTCTATAAACATTATACCGAGTCAAATTTTATTTTCTTTATGATGGGCTGTGCGAGAGGGATAACAGAGGCCAGGGATTAAAAATTTGTAGAGGGAAGCCTTCCACACCTAATGGATTCTTCCTCTCCCTAGTCGTACACATCGAGAAAAAACCTGTTGAATTATAGTTGTTGTGTAGTGTATCTTTTCATCTGTGGTAATTGTAAAGCGCAAATGCAAGAACAGAGAGTAACGATTTTACAGTTTGTCTCCACCAAAAAAATTCCTGCGGAGGGCATTACTCGGAAAAAAATTCCTGCATCAACAATGACCGGAAAAAAATTCCTGCAAACTGAAAATCCCCCTCCCCTCCCATTATGACTTTTGTAATGGTTTCTCCCTAACGATATTTCTTATTTGTTGTCTTTTCCAGAGGTGCTACAACAAGCCAGCCATTGATTCGAATTGTCTCAAGTCTGACATCTCTTATGCTTCAAATTAAGGTATGCTTAGGTTAAAATTACAGAATTAGAATCCTGATTTCTCGAACCCTCGGTTTTTCGAAATTCCTGATAATTCGAACTAAACCTAGCCTGCATCGCAGAGGCAATTTAGCCCCGATTAGTGACGTCTGCGAAGCACCGAGGTCCTTGTTCTGAGCCTCCAACGGATTCAACTAATACCGGAATTTCCTTTCAACCTGATTGGCAAGTCGACAATGGCTTTTTTAACAGGCCAATCATAGCGTGTGCTCAAATCCTGGCACATAGGTGGGACCCAGAACAAGAATTTCGGCACTGTTTCGCAGACGGACTTAACCAGAGTTAAGTTTGGTCTGTGACGCAGGCTAAACCAGACTTAACTTTCTTTCACAAGTCAAATACTGTGATTTTTCCTCCGGTTTTCAAACCTCCCAATAACTCGAAACAAGTTTGCTTTTCCCGAGATGGTTCGAAAACTCGGGTTTCCACCGTATTACATTTTATCTTGCTCCTGCCCGGTTTACAGTTAACTAACGCCTAACAGTTGTGGTTTGTGTTCAGTCATTAGCTGAAAATGACCTCAACACTTTTGAGTTTAAATCACTGTCCGATGCTGTGGATGAAATCAAGAAAACTATTGACCCTTCAAACATCAGGTGAGTTGCGGATCTTATGAAACTAGGGACATTACGAAACTCCGACGGCGACGGCAACGGCAACGTCAAAATGCAATAGGTTTAGTTACCAAAACAACAACTCTTCACGTGCATCACGCTTTCTTGTACATTTCTCTGCCGTCCCTGCGCGACTGCGACGTGAAATGACCAAATTTTAAGTTTTTCTTTTTGAGGACGGGAATGGCAATGCAATAAATTCTACCATCTTTGTCTGAACTCGGGCACGGCCCTCTCTTTTCAGCTCCAACATAAATTCCCTTCCTTTAAGTAACTGGGCGACTTGGGATAATCTTGAAATGTCTTGAAAGGATGCGGAGTCTATTTTTCAGCGACGTTTTCATGGACGTCGCCGTTGTCGGATCGTAAGGTCCCTACTATGTATAGGCGCCGCTTATATGGGCCAGGTTCCTGAAAGGTCGATTAGCGTTATTCCAGGATTTGACTTCAATCCACCATTGTATTGACCTGTCTGTATATTGTTTCAAAGTGCAATCATTTTGGCGGCGGCTTGCTTTTGGTTGAGAGATAATCCTCAGAATTAACCGTTGGCCTTCAAGTTTTGCTTTTTAGTTAGCTGTGTACTTTCTTTCGTCGTAGCCAACGGACGAGACAAATCCACAGTCCTTTCAAGGACCTTTTTCTATGAGAAAGCAGAAAACAGTTCTGGCGGGTGCTCAGTTTTAGACGATTGTGCTAGCAAGAGGAATTTTACTACGAAGTGATACTCAACATTCGTTGTTATTCTTAGTAACTCATTTGGTTTATGTTGCTAATATGGGGTTTATATTTTTTCTTTCAGCTGCTTTCAGAACAACGTAGAAATCCATGTTGCTCACATTCAGTCTGGATTGAGTCAGATGGGTAATCTGCACGCTTTTTCGTCGGCTGGCTCTTCATAGCAAATCGACCACGTCATTATATAATATGGACAGGAAATGTAGTTTATTTTCTCTGTATTAACCATGTAAACTAAGGGTTCATTCGATTCAATGAAAAACTCCGGTTTAGAATCCAGAAAATGTCATCAAGCGAGTGAAAGGTTTCTTCTTCCTCCTCTGATATTTCCGCAAATACAAACATCCTCGAGAGGTGGTTATACTCAAAGTTTCGAAATTTTCTCGCTAGAAATCTTTGTTGCATTTGAAACTGAAACCGGATTTTTCGGTTGAATGGTTTGTTTACAAACTCAGTGTTTTTGGCAACGTCGTTCCCAGGTTCTCCCTCCGTGGAGACGGCTAGGAGAGAACCCTGGGAACGAGGTTGTGTTTTTGGTAGGGGAGGGGAGGGGGGTTGGGGGATTTCACTGCTCGAATGGAGTGCGTTCATTCGCCACTTTAGGAACGAGAGTGAAATTGGGTCGAGTTGACGTTCGTAAAGACTTCTGGGACTGTTACTAGGGACAGGGGGAAAAATTGACCAATAGCTGACCGGCGCGTTCCCAGAACCAATGCTGGTTGCTTTTCGGCTCCAGTTTCGTTCTTCGTTTCTGAAGTGGCGAGTTGACTGTTTAACAGATATTTCTTAGCACTTGTTCGCGAAAATGGAGTTAAACCTTAACGATTTGAGCCGAATTTGGAACCAAAGCAGTGGTCGTTTGTTGGGCGCGCATGAACGGGCGCCGCCAGTGATATCGTTCCGGAAACGATCGATGCCTTTTTGATGACACTTATTTTATGGACTATTATTTGATAGCTTTCACTATGAAAAGAAACAAGGAATTTTTACCTACATACAAGTCTGATCAGTCCCATTGGCATGCTATCATATCGTTACTGTCCAATTCACTGTCTTCTCCATTAGCGGATTGATCCGCCGTAAGTCGCAATTATAAAAAATTGACGTGTTCAACTATAATTAATTAAATGATGAATACATGAAAATCATATATTTAAACCGCGGAATGATCATCCGGTAAACCTTAATGTTTTTTTTCCAAGCTTTGCGCCGATGATCTTATTTGCATTCGTTAAGCCCTTATAATTGATCAAGTCTTTTATAACCGATACGGCGAAAATATGTGATCCCAGCCCGCATAACGTTATATATTTAACAATTTATGTTTTGTCTTATTGTAAATTGATAATCCAGAGTATACAAAGCCAGATCACTATTATGCGAGCGTATGCGGCCATCCCCGAGGAATGACAAGTGGCAACTTAAGGTGTTTTCCCAGGCTTTGAGATGATACGGGTCAGGAGTAGTGATCTGAGATCATCGAATCAATGTACATCAAATGAACCGATGTCAGTCCTTTCCTAGAGGCCCTCAGTGGGCTTAACCGTCAGCCGTCAAACGGCCTAAACTTTAACCGCCAACCGTCAAAAAGTTTTAAGGTAGCTCAAATTTCACTATTTCAGCTCATCTTCGGGGACTTCAGGCTCCTGATGAATCTCTAAACTGGAAAACGCAGTTCCTATGTTCTGAAAACACACTCTCTAGACATTACGAGACCTCACAACTTGCTTACATCTGAAAATATTTCGAAATTTTAAAAGCGAAAGGCCAAGACAACCTCCAAGACACAAAAGTTGAAATTAATTTATACTGAAATTAATATTTACGTAAGCTCCTGGACTAAATTTCTACTTTAACCGTCAACCGTCAAAATTGGAAACATTTTACCAACAACCGTCAAAGCTGGACTCGTCGGTTCCGCTTTCCATTGAAACGTGTTTGTTTATGATTTTGCGAATTTTGAAAACGCACCGTTAAACAAAGGGTAGATGGTCTGTTTACGGTGATTTTGGTCGACAAGAGTGTTTTCAACCGTTACGACACCGGGCCTCTGGAAAGTTCCTCTCAGGCTCTAAGATACCAAACAAAATGCCTTGGGTGGCTTCCCGGCGTGGTTCACCCCGGTTCTTGTATTATATTTACCATTACCAAGAAACGAGAAACGACCACCCGGTCTGCCCGTAACTGGAACAGGTCTTGCGATTTTGATTCACACGTGTATTTTATCAACATGAAGTGTAAGAGATAGCATCAACCGTTATGGAAACGGAGGTCAAATCAAAAAGTGACATTTGGGCTTTTTTTCTCATTTAAACAAGGGAGCGACTGTTTTTGCGGTGTATTTAAACATTCTAAGGTTAATTACTAGGGTAAATTCGGTCTTATAACTACCTGACGTGTTGCGAGGGTAAATTGTTGTTAGGGGCGCCGCCGTTCTAACGGACGGACGGACCTTGCAGCTCTCGGAAGACCTGACGGGTCCGTCCGTCCGTTGGAATAGATGACATGGCTAAATCTAGTCTTAAGTAACAAAACTGGACCTTTACTTTTGGAATTGTGTTGATGCGCAATCATGTTTTAGCTTTTTAAAATAGGAAGAAAGCAAATTGCATGACTTAGGTCCTGTTTACATGGAGGTGGGGGACCCCAGGTAGGTGAGGTGACCCGCCTTTCCATAAAATCTCTCATTTTAATTTGATTACGTTTACATGATAGGTGGGGTGACCATATGAGAGATTATATGAACAGACGGGTTACCCCACCTAAGCGGGTTACCTCACCTACCTGGGGTCCCCCACCTCCATGTAAACAGGCTCTTAGCCCCTTTAACTCTATTGTAATGGACATCTTTCTGAATGAACACCTAGAATCGGTCCCTTGTTTCTTCTTGACTAAGATGGTCCTTCCTGAGACGAACACTTAGTGCTTGAGTCTCGACAGTTTCCTTCGTAGAAAAAGTTGACTGCAGTAAAGCCAGTCTGAGACATCTTTGGACATTGCGATTGTTCTCGCTACGCGTTCCGCTAAAAGTTTGTCGCTGTTATATCCACATGATCCAATCGCTACGGTTCATTGTATTTCTACATCTTGGCAGAACTTTTAGTTAATGTCGTCATTTTGTAAATAAAATATCTTCTTGTCTAAAAAGGTGTTGTCTCTTCACTTTTGGGTATTTGAATGCGTAACTTCTACAACCAGTAGTGGCAGGGCGAGAAAGATGTAAAAAGAAAACACGAGCCAAGGGATGCTATCGTATTACCATTGTTTTAGCGTTTTTCGTTTGGACGGGCGTAAACGATTCGAATACGCTACGTGTGGAAGCGTAGTTTTCCGAAAATATCCGGATCCATGGGCCAATTCACACTAGGGCTCTTAGGTACACTTTGGTACGTACGTTTAGTGTGAACTACTTTCTGAGGGAGTCAAAATTAAGTTTTAATAGAAGCACTCGTCTGATTTGTTTACACCTTCAAATCTCTTTGTAAATTGTATCAAAGGGCTAAAAATTAATGCAAGCTGAGTGTAATTAAAAACATCTATAATTTCTATTAGTTTTCTATAAGCGTTATATTTTTCCTCTTTTTTTGTGCAAAACGTCTTTTTGAATAGCGCGTGCTGTGGGTTTGTGCGGAATCACCCAAGTGTAGGTCGCGTTCTTAGCGTGTAACTTTATTACATATCATACACTCGGAAAAATACATGAGAACAACCAAAGCCGGGGACTTAATGGTCTAAGGTCAGCGAAAAAATGTGAAGAATTTACATGAATAAAAGAAGGCTTTAACTAAAGTAATTACGCCATCTTGGTCCACTGACCGCTGACCCAGTATTTTAATAGGTTACACCCCATCTCTGAATCTCCTACACTTAAACAAATCAATCTTTTTTGGAAAACCATTATGACACATGGATTACACTAAAACTAAACTTTATTATGGTTTTATTTTGGGGGCGATCGGAAATGTCACGTGACAATGACGTCACAATGGTTTTAGCTCTAAATCGAATTTCAGCCCTGTTCGGTATTTTCTTTTGAAATGCTTTAGGCTACGTATTCTTTGGATGATCAAAGTCTGTGAAATGTGCGAGAGCTTTGGCAGCGGACATAAATTGAACCTAATTCACTCAGTTTCCTAACCCTAATCTCTAAACTTCAGGGTCGTTCGGCGTTCTGCAAAATACCCTGGCTGTTGTCCCAGTAGAGCAAGAATAACAAAACTCTTTTTGGGTACACTTACCGGCGTAATGAGCGAAGAATGGGGATCTTATGAACGTCTACAAGAGGAGGGCTACGAACAGCCTAAACTTCGTACACTCAGACACAGGTGCCGACACTCGGGGCATCTAAAAAAGATGGTGGTGGCAGTGAGGTAAGGTTTGCCCCGTACATACAGAGACATCCAAAAAACTCAGCCTCGATCGTACCCAGGCCAGTTCACGCTATCCGAATTACCAGAGGAGGCTTGCAACCGAGTGCGATAGCGCGATAGTGTGATTTTTCCCGACAAGCTTGACGGGTGACGTCACCTCTGAAATCGCCAAGGACGACTGGGAAAGAGGCTGCAAAAAACTCAGGATTCGAAATCAACCTCCTATCAGGAGTTTTAACCCTCGGACGTACAAGCAAATTCATACCCGAGGGGCGAGGGGAAGTTGGGGGTCGATGGAATCCCTCCCCGGAGTTTTTGATATGTTGCAGTACTTTGAAACGATTTTACCGTCAGTGGAAAGCCTTTGATCTTCTTAACAAGATGAGGTATATTTTATGGGTGGTGGTGCTGCTGGAGGCTTGTGACGTCACTAACAATGGTCGCCATTTTGGCCGCCATCTTGGATTTTACCAAGAATTGGAAATCAGGTTAAAACCGCGAGAAATGGTAATTTTTTGTGCTTATAACACATAAATAAATACTTTGCATGATTTTAGCCACAAGATTTACTTTTATTGTTGAAAGAAGTTCAAAAAACATGCATTTTCACACAAAATTGGCTTGACCACCTGCTACTTATGACGTTATATCTCGTAACCATAGCAACTGCCCACCACTCCTTTGTGCGTCAGAGGGTTAAACGGTGAGTTCTCTGTGGAAACATATATTAAAGCATACCGCCGAACTTTATGACGTCGGGAACGACGCATAAAGGGCTAAATAAAACAGACAGATCAGACGTAGGAGGAGGCGGCAGAAACTGGAAAAATAGTTCAGGATAAAAAGACAACTCTGACAAACACAGCTAATAAGGTAGACTGCTTACTAATGTCAAGGACAGAGAAAAACCGGAGGACAGACAGGGAGTAGTATACAAGATCAAATGCTGCGAATGCCAGGCTTCTTACATCGGTGAAACCGGCAGAAACCTAAGCACGCGACTGACTGAACACAAA